ACGTGTTTCTGTGTCACCGCAACTGCCCTGCCTGCCCTGCTGCCCTGCTGCCCAAGTCTGCATACCGCATAACCACCCACGTCACCCCCCCCCCCTCCGTCCCGCCGCCCGTCGTCAGCCCGTACAGCCCGCCCCCGTGAACCTCTCCAGGGTTCTTCGCTGCTGGTCCTGCATCCCATCTACCTACTTACTCACTTGCCTCGTACATGATACCAAGTACTCGCACTACGACACACACGGTACTTCCATCCTTCGATGCTTGCCATGTACATGTCTAGTATCTGCATACATACACCTTCTCGCCCCTCCCAAGGCCGAGGCTCCCGGCTGTGCAACTTGCACTCAGACGGTTGGTGCTCCCTCGCTCCAAAAAAGAACAAGACCCAAGCAAACCGTCGACCCTGTGAATCGACCCGTCCGCCTGCCCAACCACGCTATCGCCAAGCTGGTGCCACTCTACCACTACTCTACACCTCGTTCGCTGCCTCTTGGATACGCTCGGCCAGGCCAGACCAGACCACGGCTGCATCACCGCACATTGCGTCCTTGGCAACCACTTGCCCCCAGCCACTCCCGCACCCATAAACCCTCTCTGCTCCCGTACCTCGACCGCCTCTAACCCGCTTCTCACGTGGCCGGACCTCTGAGCTCCTGCTGCCATGTCGGCAACTCACCTTTGACACGCACTTGGGCTCTAATGCTATCAACCTGTCGCCCCCGGCCCGAATCCACCCGGAGCTTTTGCTTCCCACGCATGCGGGGTCCCACGGTAATTGTCTGCCCATAGATTGCTTGATAACTGCCATACGCCCAATCTACAAACCAACATGCGCCTGCCTCCGCTGCACATGTCCAACCGCCCGACGTTGATAAGTAGACGTAGTACTCGGCCTGTACCCTTCGCCTACCCTTCGCCTACCCATCGCCCTACCTTCTCCCAATCGGCGCCACGCCCACACCCACACTCACATACACATACATACATACGTACACACATACTTACCACATGTGTCCATGCTTTTACCAGCACATTGGGAAACAAAGCATAGCCCAAGCATGGACATACTCGCATCTACCGCCGCCCGGCACACTGGAGCCCAAAAGGCCGATCACATACCCGCCCTCGTGCCCCAGACTGCCCTGGCCCTCTTCCATGGACGCAACACGCGCCCGCCCCATCCGTACAGTGACGTTTGCCAGCGGGATCTTCATTCTTCTGCTGACCGGCTGACGTACTCTACTCTCCTTGTTTGCCGCTGACCAATTGCCCGAAACATGTCTGTTGCCGCTAATGAGCGATTTCCTGTGATACTTATGTGGCCCCCCCATGTCCATACTACTCTACACTCTACTTTCATTATCCACTTGCCTTTGTCGTGATTTACCACTCACTCCATACACACACACACACACACACACACACACACACACACACACACACACGCGCGTTTGTCTCCAAGTGACGCCCAAAGTCTTGGAAGAGGGGAAACTAACTCCAAACCCAACTAACCTCTTTCTCCATCCTTTTGCTTTTCCAAACTCAAAAAATGAAAAGGGAAGAGATAAGGTTACATACGGACTGGTAGTTGTCCGAGTCTAGATCTTCCACAGACACACACTCTTTTGCAGCCCGAAACAAATGACCTCTTTTTTTTTCCCCCTCCCTGTAACTTGCCCTTTTTTTGTCTTTGCCAATCAATCACCTTTGATCGTCACTCTTTTTTCCTTCTTCTTCTTTTAGCTCACAGCATCTTAGTACATTGGTGGAAAAGGAGATACGGACGATTTCGGTCCTGTCCATTACTTACTAGTTGCTTGGGTTTCCCCCCCCCCAAAAAAAGACAGGCTATATAAATGAGACAAACTCAAAAATAAAAGAAGCCAATCTATATGTATATATACAGAGTCACGTGACAAGCGCCAGAAAAACTATTACAAGACTTGATTTTCCCCATTTGAAAATGATCATCGTCTTTTGCTTGCCAAACTCAATTCCTCTATCAACCTCGTAAATTCAATCCATGACTCGTATGTATATACATTGGTTCCATTCTCATTCGCACATCCCATGCCATTTCCATTTCCATTTCCATTTCCATTCCATTCCTCCCTCACACAATCTGTCCTCTCTTCTTCTCCCTTGATATTACCGCCACTGCTACACCACCACCACCACCATTACTAACTACCATCTCCCATTCACATGCCTATGTGATTGTTGTAATCTTGCCAATTTCATCGTGCAAGCAAGGAAAGCAAAAACTATATGTATAAAAAAAAGGGGGGTATCAAAGGGGGGGGGCGGTGAGTGATGGAGTATATCTTTTACTTTGTGCGTGAACTGTGATGTGGAAGAACGTGCAGAAAAATCCAAAACAAGAAAACCCAAGGCTTTAAAAAGGTCAGCCTGATTGGAGAACAAAAAAACCCCCTCGCAGTGTCGCTTCGTAAAAGTGTCGTTCGTGAAATCCGTGTATCCCGTTGCGCAAAAAAAAAAGAAACAGAAAAGTGATTAAAAAAAAAAGGGGGGGGCGGGGGGCGGCAACGAGGACGAGGATAATCCGTAGGACAACGAGCGACTGGAACTGACAAACCATATCTCAACGACGAACAACGCTCAATAAAGCGGTTCGTGCGCGAATCCGGCCCAGTCCTCAAACCGCGACACAGCAGACGACGTGTGCCGCGCAATCTTCTCGCTCCACCACGACTCGCCCTCATTCATGCCCACGGGGAAAATACCAAACAGGTATCGTCCATTGCCGTATGCACCGCTGCGCATAGCGCTGTTGCCGCGCCCACCGCCAAATCCTACGCCATTGGCGCGTTGCCACACGTTGAGTCGCATGTACAGATAGAGGCAGAAGACTGCCAAGGCGAGGTTGAGCAAGATAGGCGCCCAGTCCATGACGGCTTCCAACGTCGTCTTGGGTACCGTTGCAGGAATGGGCTGTGCAGCACGTGGCTCCATTGCTTCCTGGTCATCCATAACACTAGCTCTTTCCTCCATCGTCTGTACCCCCATGCTGAGCATGACAACTTTAGGCTTGACTCGTACAACAATTCCTTCAGGCTGCACCTCGTGTGTCGTCACAACAGAGACAAACTCGTTGGGCGAGCCTGCCGTCGCGCTCTCGGGAACGGTCTGGGTCCCTTTGGTGACGGAGGCGGTGAATTTGCGCTCGACCACCGTAGGTGCAACAGGAGCGATGTCCAGAACAGGATGAGGGCCAGAAAGCGTCGATGCGACTTGTTCAGCAGCGACGGCTTCAACGGCTGCAATCGGAATTGTGCTGACAGTCGCGTAATCGACGAGCTCGTCTCGAAGCACTGGCGAATCCGTTTGAGTAGGAGATTCAGCCGTTCCGACCCGGACAGGTGTGCTCGGAGTCGTGCTAACAGACGCGTAGCCAGCGAATTCGCTTGTGAGTCGGGCGACGTCGGTCTGGGCCGAGCAGTCCGCGGTGGAGTGGAGGCGCACTGTCGGGATCGTGCTGCCGGCTTCCCTCACACTCACCGTTAATGTCGCGACTCCAGGTTCTTGTGGTGCAATACTGACAATTTCGTGCTGGTTCAAGCTGCTCGGCGCAACGCGGGCAGGCCCCCGGGGTACAAAGCTGGCAATTTCGCTCGTGTACATGCTCGACAGAGGAGTGCGAGCGGGCTCAATCGGCCCAGTGCTTGCCGTCTCACGCACAATCAACGTGTGTTTAGATACTGCCGTAGTAACGGGCTCTGTGCTGGCACCCTCATTAACGCTGATAGTAAAAGGTGCATCCAGAGCGGGTTCGCGAGGCTCCAGGCGACCGGCTTCGCGCACGTCGAGTGTAAGTCGGGGTACATGGGCAGCAACCGGCGAGATGCTAATAGACTCCCGGGTATGAATGGCTGAAGGCGGCTGGACGGCAGGCGCAATTGGCTCATAAGTCAGAGGCGTCTCTTGGATGTGTGAGTAGTCGTTCCATTCAATTTCGTAAAACTCTGCGTCGTCGATGGCCGAAAGCTCAGAAGCTAGTGAGTCGCCAATAGCGCCAATGTGCTGGTCCTCGTCGACGGGAGAGGCGGCGTTTTCTCTGGCAATCGCGTCGGCAGCGTTATAGCTGCGCTGTCTCTCCTTCTGCACCTGCATTTCAAGGTGGCTGATTCGCTCATCCTTGACTATGATGGTGCGCTCTTGTTCGCCAATCTGCTCGCGCAGTGCGCTTATGTCGTGCTCTATGTCTTGGGCATGGTCGACAGCCTTTTGGGCCTCTTCCAGCTCAGCCTCCAGGGCCGCAATCCTCTCCTCCGACTCTTGCCATTGTTCCTTCAGATCCTCGAGTTGGAGCTTCAAGTCCCGGTGGTCGGCGAGCGCCTCATCGCGGTCGAGGAGGGCAGAGCGATGGGCGAAGCGCGACTGGTTGAGATCGGTGTAGAGTTCCTCTACGCGTTCCTCGGCGTCTTTGGTGGCGGCTTTTTCGTGATCAATGTCCTTTTCGAGCTTCTTGATGAGCGTATGGAGGCCTCTGGATTTGTCCTTTTCAATGTCCAACGCATCTGTACTTCTCTTGAGCTCGTCGTTTGCGGCGCGCAGCGAGCTCTCTGCCTTTGTCAACTCATCCTTGAGCACAGCATAATGTCTCTCCAGAGCCTCCTTCTGCCCCGTCAGCTCTACTATACGATCATAATCCGATTCCTCATTCATTGCGCAAGTTGGGTTACTCACCGCAACCTGGCCGTTGAAGTCTTTATGCGGTGGCTAGCTTCTTTGTTGGCATTGTCACATGCGCCAAGGCACCGGGTCCGGCGCTAGCACGGGCGCTAGTCTCCACACTAGCGGGAACACTCCCCTGCTCAATGTGCTGGCAAGTCTAACAAGACGAGGAAATCAGGAACAATTGGTGAAATGATGCCGTACCATCCGCTTCATTGTTTCAGCATATTTCTGAATAACACGGCACGATTGCTGATGGATAATGTCAGCCATCTCCCGTGATATTCGGGAGAATTCAACCCCGGTGCGGTGCGGTGAAGAGATCGCCTTTCACCCTGGTAAAGGAGGCTCAGGTACGCGACAGATCTGCAGGGAATAGTCTGCGAACCTACCTGCTATCCCACCCGTCAGCTGCGGAACCATGCCCTTCACCGCTAGTATACTGCACTTTATTTTCCCACACCGCACGCCAACTTGTTGGGAAATATACTTTTCTACTGGCTAAAAGGGACATTTCTGCAGCCCTACCATGCTTCTAGCCTCCTTTTTTTCTTTCATTTTTCCTTCTTCACCGTCTTGCTGCATCGTTCTTTTCTTTTCAAGCATGGTACCTGCATTGAGCAAGGTCAAGCATGGCGCTAAACGCTCATCTCCCGCTCAGCATCCCAGCTTTACACTGTTTGTATACTCTACGCAGCCAGCCTGCTCGTATCCACGAAACCACCATGCGCCGGCCCCGTAAACTTCTTCCTGCCCGTCATGATCCAAAACACCAGGCTAAGCAGCATCACCGCGCCAGTGGCAGCAGACGTGTAATTCATATTCTCGCTCGTCACAGGTGTAACGGTGGGCAAGTTTGAAACCACGCATACAAAGGTGAGGTACAAGAAGCCGATGATGTTAAGCACGATGCCCCATCTTCCGAGCGAATAAGGGCCTTCTAGGCGTGTCTTTTTGCCCGTAAAGTGTGCCAGAATGCGGGAGAGAAGAGGCATTAGGTATGATAAATCTGTTGAGAACAGCATGAGTATGTCAAGTGTTTCCAAGGTTGAGCCAAACGGAGACTTTTACTCACAGAATCCTTGGGTAGCAATGCCGATGATGGTATTGAAACCAGTTGTTGTGCCAAAATAGATAGAGTTGAAAGCCATTTGCACAACGGTCGTGAGCAAGACTGCATACACGGGAACCGATCGCTCGGATACAGTGCTGAGCACGTTGGAAAACGGTAGACCGTTGTCACGCGCAAACGCATAGACAGCCCTCGATCCCTCTGCCATGAGCGAATTGGCACATACGACGGTGATTACGCCTATCATTGAGGCCAGGGTAGATGTCCCTGCGATGCTGTTTGTAGAGTGGAACATGATTTCAATGACTGGCACGCCAGTCGGTGTGCTGGCCGTTGTTTCGAGATCGCCAATGCAGAAACACAGCGCGACGAGCCATGCGAAGCCAGTAAAGAAGCCAATGTACACTGACATGACGATTGCGCGGGGCGCCTGCTTGCGTGCATCCTTGATCTCTTCCGTCATATGCGATGGTGCGTCATAACAGCACATTCCAAAAGCCGACTGCAGCAGCCCAAGACATGTGGCGTATGGCGCATTCCATCCAGTAAAGTTTTGAAAGTCGCTGAATACGTAGCTCGCCGACTGTTTCTTGTCATTTGTGGCTAGGATGGTGATAAAGCATACAACGAACGAGGTCAGGTTCCAGATGAAAATAGCCTTGGAGATCTTGTTGAGGATATGAGGGAGGTAGATGTTTGAGGTGGCTGCGATCCATGTGATCAGATATGTGACTAGGACGGTATGCCAGCGTTCAATGGTGAACCCGTAGTTTAGTTGAGCGGTCCCGAGTATGAAGTTTGCAGCTACATTGTTGTTAACTGAACCCATGCATATGATCCCGATTAACATGAACCTAGAAGAAGTTAGTCAAGCCCAGGAGCTCGAGTCCCTGTCCGCACTTGCCATCCACAAAGATAGCTCATTGATTTAGCCCAGCGCGAAGGGGCTAGTATGGCAACCCAACTGTACTGGCCACCAGCAACCGGGTATCTAAAAAAACAATCAGCGAATTCCCTCAAAATCATGTATGAACTTCTTACGCGCTACACATCTCAGCCATGGAATACGCCACTGCGAGCGTGACCAAGCAAACACACAACCAACCCCATATCATGACTGGCGGTCCTCCAGATTCCACGCCGATGGTAAGAACACCAGATAGTGCGGTCCATGATGTGACGATACTAAACGAGAAGCCAACCATACCCAGCAGTCCGAAACTGCGCTTCAACTCTGTTCTCTCATTAGCACACGCCTCAAGACCGCCATCTGGAGCATACTCACCCTGGGTATATCCCAGCTGCGCAAGCACATCATCATCGCTGGTAGCGGTACTATCCAGCACCTTCTTCTCATCAAGCGTATCCGACATATCTACTCCTTGCTACTGCTACCCGAGAAGCAGTAAAATCAAAGCAAGTGTGAAAAAGTCAATCCATCTGCAAGCAATCTAGGGACCCCCTCCCGGAATATATCTATAAAAGCTCCTGCTGCATCTTCCGACCCGGACCACAAAAATCTCGCAGTCTCCCCCAATTGGGGGCTTATGAGCAACGCACGATAAGCCACAACACGAACGGGACGGATACAATACTACCCCGACCCTGCGTCATTGACTCCTCCACTCCCATCCCCTCTGATAACAAAAAATCTCGAGACTCCATTGCAAAGATTGGAGGACTTCCGTGGATTGGGGTTGGTTGGTAAATGGGGCTTATCGCGCAGCGGCTGGGTGTCTGGCGATTGGTGGAGATAGGGAGGAAGGAGCAAACCGGGGTTCGTGTAGAGAAGGTGGGGCGGGGTCGTAGTGGGATAAGATAAGTAGGGCAGATGTATCGAGAGCTTGTTTTTGCAATTATTTTTTTCTTCTTCTTCTTTAGAAATTTTGAGTTGTGATTTTGTGCTCGTGCGTGGGGGAGTGATGGAAATGAACACGAAGGTGGATGTTGAGATGTTACTGTTAGTCAAGTCGATAGATGGAAGATGGAAGGAATGTTACATTGCCATTCTTGCGGATCCCCAATAGCGGATGAAGTATCAGACCCACAGTACCTCGCAGCAACAAATACCAGTACTTCAATCTTTCAGTTTAGGTAAACATGCGTGGTCAGCATTTCGTTCGCCTGGAGCAAGGCAGTTCCATGTCATGCGAACTCCGCAATCTCCAACATCTTGATTTATCCAAATTGGTGCTCGTAACCCCTCTTCCAAAGAAAAAATATTTTCAAAGTTCACAAAAAAAACGCAACGATTTCTGACACCAGAGTGCGGAATACGAGAATACTACACCAACAATGACCACACAAATCCTCAGTACCGCTCCCTACCCCTTCCCACACTCATCCTCGCTCCACCCCAGCACAACCGCCCTGGTTCTCATAGACATGCAACGCGACTTTCTGCATCCAGGCGGCTACCTCGCATCGTCCGGCTACTCTATTACGCGCTTCAGCGATTTAATCCCGCGTTTGGCCTCGCTTCTATCCACCTTCCGGAAAGCAGGCTTCCATGTGGTGCACACGCGCGAAGGACACGAAGGGCATCTAGCGACAGTGAGCAGCAGAGAAGCGCATAGGAGTGCGGTCAATGGGGCGCAAATTGGGAGTCAAGGGCCATTGGGGCGGCTTTTGGTCAGAGGCGAGGAGGGTCATGATATTATAGCCGAGTTGAAGCCGGTGGAGGGTGAGTTGGTGATTGACAAGCCCGGTCGTGGTGCCTTTGTGCATACCGAGTTGGATCTCGCGCTGAGGGCAAAAGGCGTCAAGAACCTGGTGGTCTGTGGCGTCACGGCAGATGCATGTGTAAGTAGTACGGTGAGGGAGGCGAGCGACAGGGGATATGACGTTTTGGTCGTCGAAGATGGCGTCGAGAGTGTCAGTGAAGAACTGAAAAAGTGGAGTCTGGAGAGTATTAGGGTAGAAGGTGGGCTGTTTGGGGTAACGGGGACATGCAAGGCCGTTGAAGAAGCCGTGGCAAGCTGGGTGGGAAGCTCGACGCAAGATAGCACGGTGACCAAGTCAAGACAATAACGAAACATCACAACTTCGCTGTATGGTGTGCATTGAACTTGGTTGCATTGACTTTGACTAGCCAAAATGAAGACGGAAGCTTCACATATTGATCATTCCCATACCACCCATGAACTTAACGCCGTTGAGACTAATAGCCGTGACCAGATCATATCCATAAACAATGTGTGACAAGAAATTTAACCACCGAAACCGTAAAGGGTACGGCCCTGGCGCTTGAGAGCGTAGACGACGTCGAGCGAGGTGACGGTCTTGCGCTTGGCGTGCTCAGTGTATGTGACGGCATCGCGGATGACGCTCTCGAGGAAAGTCTTGAGGACACCACGGGTCTCTTCGTAGATCACTGAGGGCATGTTAGAGAGAGGTCGGTGAGAGAGAATGAGGAGGGTAATGCTTACTGGCAGAAATACGCTTGACACCACCACGACGAGCGAGACGACGGATGGCGGGCTTGGTGATACCCTGGATGTTGTCACGAAGAATCTTTCGGTGACGCTTGGCACCGCCCTTGCCGAGGCCCTTGCCACCTTTGCCGCCTGGATAAAGATGTTAGCATGCTGTATATGTAGGGCGCATGGTTGTTGGTGATAGACGCGGATGGGTTGGGTAAGAGGCGCGGCGCAATAGTGGGGCGACGCGTTGAGCCTCAACACCAAGCGCGCCTCATGGCCAAGTGCAGGCAGCGATGCAACACCAACGATGCAACGCGCACCAAGGGCGATGAGGGTAGCGACAACGAAGGGAATGTCAATGTACTTACGTCCAGTCATGTTGATAGAGGTTTGGTTGGATGAAGGGTGATGGGTTGTGGTAATAGACGCGAATGGGGCGGGGTTGGTGGATGGAGATGGGAAAAGCTGGGGGGGATGCGAAAAGGGAGGAAGAAGAGGAGTGCAGCGAGCGTGGGCGGGCTGGTTATATAGACGAGGGACGGGCGCGGCGGGTGCCTCGAGATCACACAGCAAAAGGCGGCCGCGCTAAACCGGGTTGGGAGGGGACATGGAAGCAAAAGGCGACTGAGCTGCCGCCCTCACAATTTGCGACCAAAATCAAAAGGCCTGGAAAGCAGCACTTCGAATTGCGCCTTGACCTGGCAGGTGCGCCCGCCTCCTAGTTGCGACTGCTGGCTGGGGTGGCCGGGTCCGTGCGCCAACTTCATTCTCAACGCGTCCACCTTACTCCTCCAACACCCCGCTGCTGCATCGCGTCTGCGTCCCGCCAGAGACTACTGCAGCACCTGAAAGTCATGCGCGACGATCCTGAATACGGCACATACCTGGTATATTGGTTATATGCACCGCTTACAGCCTCCACAAATGGCAGACGGTGACTTGCATGGCACGCCTTCTCTCGGATCTGCGCCTTCACCCAAACCCAACTACGCGCAGCCAGTGTGACGTAGTGGCATGGCCCAACTGACTTTTGTATCAGCCTTCTCTTCACTGCCTTCAATGAGACAGAAGATTAAGAAACAACGCATTTGAACATCACATCACTCAATCCAACTTCACATGGTTCAAAAGTACGCTGATTCAAGACAAAGGGACTCATTTCACATTCTAGCTATTCTACCAGTCTGCCAAATCAACAAACGAAAACACTGTCGCAGTCTGTCCATCAACATCAACACGTCACGTCCATTCTGTGATACCAGTTCAATCCCCCCGACTATTTTACTTTGTCTCATCGCCAGTCTTGTCCGCAGCCTCATCATAGATGGGAGGGGCATCGTATGCTGGAAGCTCAGCAAATTCCTCCTTCTCACCCTGCTCTTCCTTCTTCAGGCCCTCTTCAACATCACCATCTTCAAAGTCTTCGACATCCTCCTCACGCAGAGCAATGGGCTGGTACCTCTGGCCGCGGAACTTGGCAACCGTCATGGCAATCAGGCATCCTAGCGCCATGCCAACCAGGTATGTCAGGGTACCAGCGAAGACGCCAATGAGAATAGGAACGAAAATGGTGAAGAAGGCACGACGAGCAAACATGGCAATGCGGTGGTGGTGTGCGTGGTGGTGTTGGCCCTCACCATGAGGCTTGCCAGGGTGGAAGCGGTGTGGTGGCTTGCCCTCAATCGTCTCATGTTCCATGGGGTTGTGGGGGCGCATGCGCATGTGGCACCCAGGCCTGGGCTTGCCCATGTGCTTGAGCTGTTCGATGCGGTCGGCCATGATACCCTTCCACTTGCAGTACATAGGCCATTGGTTGCATTCCTGCTCCGAAGGCCTAGCCCTACTAGGCTCAGCCTTGTTAAACGACGCAATCATAAGACGGCCCTCGGTATTCTTGAGCATGTTGATTTGTAGCACAGGGGGGTCCATGGGCATGTCTTCAACTGACGTAATCCTGAGCGTCATCGGAAGAAGCTCAGTGCCCTCTTTCGAAATGGTCTCAGCGCCGTTGAAGTCAAACTCAAAGCCTGTAATGCGTAGACGCAGGCCGTCGTCCGAAGAAGGGTCCATTTGGGTAAGATGGTATGTCGCAAAGGCCATACCAACCGAAGGAGGAAAGATTTGTGCGCTGTCAAGATTGAGAGCCTCATCCTGGGGCCCGACGTCAAAGTCCAGGCGCTGGTCAAGGTTAGTATGCCACGTTTTGGTGTTTAGGTTACACAACGTACGAATGTGTTGCCTGCGCCCTCCTTCCACTTGAGTGAATCCCCGTCCAGGGTTGCGAGAGCGCATCCTGGACATTCAAGCGCAACAGATCGCTGCAAGGGGTTGACTGCAAACGCTTCCAAGGCGTGGCCTTCGTCCAAGTCCATGGTCGATGGGATGAGGACGGCGCTGGCGGCCAGCGCCAAGTTCGCAAAGACGCCTAGTTTGCTAGGAGACATTGTAGAGATTGATTGGTGACAAGATTCAAATGACAAGAGAGTGAAAGATGGTGCAGAATTGAAGGTAATAAGGAGTTCGGGGTCAGAGGAAGGCAGTGCCTCAGATGGCGCAACCTTAGGACAATCCGCCGCGTCATCGTCACGTGCGACACCAATGGACCCTGACCACCTTTTGTCAGAGTGTCGCACCCTTCGTGAAACACCTGCTGAAGCAGCCAGCGAAACACCTATCAACGTGCCTGAACATGCCAATATATTTAAAGCAGAATCTCTTACTCTATCATCTTTGCGCAATTTGCACGCCTCGAAGTGCTATACGTGGGGCAGTTTTGCTACGCCGTCGTCTTGTTTTCGGACGTTCTGCGGCGAATGGAAGGCCTCGTGCCCAGTCCAGCCCAGCGCCACACGCTCTCCCCCAACCCGATGCGCTAACGGAAGCGGGGATCATCGTATCCCGGAGCGGTACATGTGGCAAATGCACAACACCAGAAGCAAGCAGGCCACTGCTTTTTTGTACTCGTTGATATCGAGATCCGCTCAACAGTTGCACATGTAACCCATCCAAGCAACAATCAATTCCATTTCTCGACTTTGAACATCCGCAGCTCTCCGGTCATGATGCTTGTGTAACCTCATCTCGTGGCGCTGTGTACAACCGTCCCGGCAATGCACCCACGCCAATCGGTACAAGGTCCTGTTAAAGCTGACATCCGTATCTCTGCCGTTAAGCATATTCATCTCGTTGTCCGCTACACACAGGTAGTCAGCCTTTATCTCTCTCAAAGCTTAATCACATCTGTCGGACCGACGCGCAAGACAAACGGCCGTTTAACCTGCAAAACCTGCCAAGCCAAGGCTGGCTATTAACAGACTTGCCGCCGCATTATTATTATCCCGTTGAAACGCCCCCAGAAATACTCACTGTGGGGTTTGGGCCGTGGTTACAACCATTGTTGTTTTTTCCTATGCCGATGAGACTGTTTCTGCGTGATCAGGCGAATAGTGCAACACATCAGCCATGTGTCTTTGCAAATCGGCGGTTCCGGATATTTACACAATCTTGTTGTTTGGTAGCGAGTAAAGTATAATTTTCTTGGGCAATTATGCAGTGGGGTGTTTCTTCCGTCAAACGAAGCATTTGGGCGATATGGGGCGTCGAACTGTTGGCACGGAGTCGGGGCGTTGGGTAGAGCGGACTTGACATAAAGTAGCAATGGATGAAGGTGAATTGTGTGAAATGTAGATAGCATGGTACTGGTGCAAGTGTGTATCTCTGCTTTTGAGGATTTGATCATGTGCTTGTACCGTAAGTACGCAACCAAACCCGATACTTCTTGTATCTAGAAAAAAGCACCGCACGATTCCCATTCAAGTCTTTTTGATCGACATTGCGCATTCTGCCACTATCAATCCCATTCAAAATCATCAAATAGGATTCAGCGGGCAAGAAACCCACAGGTACATATTTCCTCTACGCAGCCACTACACATTGACTCCGTTCACACTATCTTATAGAAACCAATATCATACACATATATATTCAAACTCGCCCAGCAAACACGCCATGGTATCTTTCGCTCGTAAAAAACAACAAAAAAAGCCGCTACAATCAGAAAATAAAATAAAAAACATCAAAAAAAGAGGGTGATTGAACTATCCAAGCACTCCCCCATGCCATGCCAACCTCGCAATGCAAAAAAATCACATCATCGTCGTCATCGTAAATCTTTCTCTTCCTCGACCCTGGATTCTCTCACAACACCCCTCTCACATCCGACTAACCTGCACCGGCACCCCAGGATGCATATTAAGCAGATACTGCGGCCCAGGCATCGTGCCGCCCCCATACAGGGAGCGACTCCCATTCCTCTGATGCTGCGCACCGCTCATATCCGCATTCCCATACGGCGGCGGGTACGGCGGCGGGGGCTGATTCCCAAATCCACCCGCGCTAGGAATACTCCTGCACTCGTCCATCTTAGCGAGCATGATAGCGTCGTCGTTGGACCCGCGGTTGAGCGCGCGCGCATGCGCGGAGCCCCGTCTGTGGATGCAGGTGTGCATGAGGATCAGGAACATGAAGATGCCGAGGGAGAGGGCGGTGTAGACGAGAATGATGGGGCGGGTTTGCGAGGAGAGTTGCAGGCCCAGACCGCCGGTTAGGACGAGCAGGACGAAGGAGGTGGAGGTGAGGGGGGTGTGGAGGCTGCGGAGGCGGGCGTTGATGTGGTTGACGGCGGGGAGGAGCGACATTAAGAGCATAGGGAGGATGGCGACTAGTGCGAAGATTTGGTGGGGGGTGTTGAAGGCTTTGGACTATTGGTGATGGTTAGTATGTTTGTGTACGAAGGAGCAAATGGGGGAAAAGTGACTTACGCGGTTGTATTGTCCGCTGACGACGCCGCCCAGAACAAAGCTGACAACTAGGAAGACCAGGATGATTGCGCTGAACATCACGTGTATCTTAATGTTCTTGAATACAGCCACAGCAATCAGGTTCAATGGCCAGAGGATAAAGAGTGCAAGGCAGCCCATGATGGCGTGAGCGAGGTTTGCGCGGTCGTGATCGCGGGTCATTTCTCCCTGCATCTCGACGCCGTTTCGTGCGTTGCTCTTTGCGGGCACGCCTCCAGGACCATTGGCAGCGCGCAGGTTCATGGTGAAGGAGCCATAGCCAAAATGGCGTGCGAGGTTTGCTGATCGTGAGTTGGACATTAGATTATCGCCATTACCGAAGGCGTAAATCATGGGCTGAGCCTCTGCATTTGTGTCCATGTAGTTGCGGCAGTTGCCGCAGCGTGCCCTGAGGATGAGCATTGAGTCGTTGATAGTGGTACCGGGTAGGATGGAGAGGTCAATTGAAGAGTTGAAAGTAGGTTCCGCGGCTTTGGAGCCAATGCGTGGGGAGACAGTGACGTCTGGTTTGACGTTAGTATGGCTTGTTTTATTTCCCTTGGATTGGAAGTTTGAGTATCCAAGCAGAGTAAGAGAAAACATACTGTCACCCTTGCTGTTGGGATACACGACGAACATCAGACTCCCTTGCATCTTGGGACCAAACCCAACACCGACCCACGAATATGCCGGGCTAGCGAAATAGATAAAGACATCGTCAGAGTCGTCCGCAACATTGACTGAAAACTGGGTTTCTGTGTGGTCAAAGTAAAATGTGGATGCTGCAGTTATGTTGGAAGTTGTGCTTTGCGCCGTTGCAATTTGCAAGAAGACTATGCGAACAAGTTAGTAAACCCCTTTGTAAGATTCAATACGTCATCCCATTCCTCTAGTAGTATAATATTACACATCTTGACTAGAGTAGAGACTAAATACTTACATTCTAGCAGCGCAAGTATCACACCCATTATCTCTCGTCGCGAACTCATCATAGCGCCCGCAACCCAGAGTAATGTGCGACAAAAAAGATGTTCTTCTCTCAAGAACCAGGGGCGTGCGCGCAAAAGATATGCCTCTGTAAAAGAAAGTTGCAGGAACCCAGGAACCAGGCTGGAGGCAAGAAGTACGTAGCTGGCGCACGGAGAGCTGACAACGAAGACGTAAACCAGAAAAGAAGGAAAAAAAACAAAGATGATATCCCGTCAGAAGCAAGTGGTGGAGAACGAAACGGGGGGGGGTCCAGCCAAAAACAAGAACTAGGCTTCGTATTGACAGGAAAAAGCAAAAAATCGACTCGTGCAAAAGACTTCGGCTTCGCTTTCGCTCCGTACGTACGGCTTCTGCAATAAAAAGGAGGGAGAAGAGGGAGCAGGAACAACGATGTCGACGCTGTGCAATGTAAACTTTGAAAAAAAAATAAAGTAGTAGTAGTAGGAGTAGGAGTAGGAGTAGTAGTATCCTTTAATCAAGCCACCACGACGTCAATGTCAAAGTTCGGAAAAGGAAACAAAAACGAGAAAGAGGCAGAAGAGAGGGGGTGGCGGGATACACGAATAACCTTATACAAAGGGCATGCAGCGAGGAGATTATGTGGGTGAGGTACCACAACATTCTTACTACATACAGCACACAGGCACGCGCGGCGGAACCAAACAGGACAAAAATTTCATCTTCCGAACCCACCACATGGTTCAATTCCCGGAAGGAGGGGCCAACAACAAGATGCAGCACACACACACCTTCTCGCACCCTGAAACGCGGGTCCAGAGCCAGTCGCAATGCACGCATGGCCAACGAATGCAGTGTAGAGGTGATCAAGACGGCATCCCCAGCCTAGTCAGGATGCCTGCATGGTGTCAAACGAGGGAGTCGAGGGGCGTTTACAGCCTTGTATTGGATGGACGGGCGGATAGGTCGGGGATGTGCGCGGGCGCTTAAGGGCAGTGGGGAACGGGTAAGTAGGCAGATTACGCTGGGCATTGGTTGTACTGTGTGTGTGTGTGTGTGTGTGAGTGTGCCTCGGGATTTTTCCTTTACTAAAAAAAAAAGTGGGCAATGCGGTACCGTGTTGCGTTGGTTGCTGCTTTGTTGCTGTGCTGCGAAGCGCCGCCCGTGGAATGGGGATGAGGCAAAGGGGCGGGGGCGGCTTCATGCGACTGGTTGGTTGGCTGCCTTTGGGGCCTGGGTGTTGGGGAAGAGACAGGACAGGACAGGACAGGACAAGACAAGACAATGATACGCGTGTGTATTTTTAGCAGCACGGCGAGGGCGGCATGATGATGCATGGACTACGACGACGAATAGAGGTGCAGTGGCCGTGAGTGGAATACTAGCCACTCGAGTTGATGATGGCTTTGCGACAGACAAGCCACGCACACGGTCTTTTGTGTTCAATGAACTTGTGGTCTAATCGTGCGCGCCAGCCCCTTGCCGCTCGCTGCATCCAGCACTGCCACTTGCCCCTCCACCAAAAAAGCAAGCCGCCCGCCAAATAGCCAGAACCCCCCCACATCCTACCGTATTGGCAATCATGGCCTTCTATTCATAGTACCTTCACACGGCACTGCACACAGATTTACATACGTGCTAACGCCAACAAGTCGTGAATTCGTTCAAAGCAGAAATAGAATTATGTACCTCTGTACCCGATTCATTCATCCATGCTCATAAACCCTAGTGCCCCGCGCCAGAATTGAAACCCCATCGTCATCGTCATCATCGTCCCAAAGAAAACACGAAACCTCTCTTCCTTCTCCACCCCGGGTATGCTCGTCATAATCATCAAGTCATTAGTCCCATACAGGCTATATCCTCGTTGCAGACTGTAGAAATCTTGTAAGTCGTTCCGCGTCACAGTGACACTCTTCCCACCAAAGCGTGCTGGAGCGTCCGGGTCCTGTGTCGGCAACCCAGAGACACTGCAACAACGCCTTGGTCGAGTGACTAGTCCACTCGCCGAGACAAGTAGACTGCATTGTCATGGACCCAAATACTGGCTTAAGACTAGTAGTCTTCAACCCGCAGATCCGGCAAGCGAAGAAAATCATGCAAATAACTGCTCTCACACCCACCCTCTAGTGGTATCGGCTGCGGCGGCTGTCAAAGTGTAAATCAGTTTCGTAGTACCGCTCGTCGTAGCCCGATGTCGGCCTAGAGCTGTGGATCGATTTGCGCTCAATTTCAATCTCCCGGATGCGGCTCTTGCGCTTGCGGCGGATTTCATCCGAGAGCTCGACCAGGTGCAACACATCCTCCTGTGTGGCGTTAGCAACCTGCCATCTCACCGACTTGTTCCATAACTTACGTATCTGAGATACTCCATCACGTAGAAGAAGTCGTCTGTTTCCTCGCACGCGTAGCCCATCGAGTCGATGGCTTCCCTGATGACCAAATCCTTGGTGATTTCGGTCCACATGTCCTTCTTGCGTTGCTTGACGGCGCCCTGGTTATCACGGTCAGTAGCGTCATCTTGGTTGATGGGAGGGTCTGAATGACATACATGCTGGTGGTTGAGGTTGATATCAATGTCAAGCTCCTCGAAGGCGCTCCTTCCGCGTCCACGGCTGTGGCTTCTAGACATGTGTTAGCAGATGTGTATGGTATCCAGACAGCATACATACTCTCTGCGGTTGATCTCAATCTCGAGGGTCTCATTTACTGGTGGGGGAGGAGACGGAGGCGCCGGTGGTGGAGGAGGTGTTGGGGAGCGTGCTCTAACGACGCCTGCAAGACAGTCAGCACCAAGTGTGGACCTCGTAGGCGTACCAACTTACCGTGATCAATGTGCCTGTGGTGGGTGATGATCTCCTGAATAATTGGAGGGCGGATTTCTGGTTCTGGAGCTGGCGGCGGAGGTGGGGGAGGAGGAGATGGAGAAGGCGAAGGGGTAGGAGCGCGCTCTTCCTTGCGTCTGATGATGATCTCGTCTCTTATGACTTCGCGGTTGTTCTGGGGCGGGGATTCTGCGCGGGGGCGACGGATAACAAACTCCTCGCGCTCGCGAGCAACCAGCTCGCCGCGGTTGCGTGCTGGGGGTGGAAGACTCCTTTCGCGGCCCCGGATTGTCAAGGAACTCCGTTCTCTGCTGGTGTCTCTACCATCACGGCTGAATTCTCGGCGGTTTGCACGAATCTCAAAGTTGCCATCTTTTTCCTGGAAGCGGATAGAGCCTCGCTCAGCAGACACGTCGCGGCCATGGCGACTGATCTCGCTGCGAGAAGCGCGGATGTCGATGTCGTCGCTAGTGCGGCCTCGGAAACGGATTTCGTCATCATCCACCTGACGTGGGGCAGGTCGGCTGACGGATCGGACCGGGGGCCCATCACCACGGCGGAAGACAATGTCATCACGCTCGGGGGGTCCGCGCGACTGCTCGCGGCGTCGGATTGTGATGTCGTCGCGCTCAACCTCGCGCACTGACGAGGCTGGAGGTGGGGGGCGGCTCCGAGTCGAGCGTACGTCATCGTCAAAACCACGAGCACTGCGGGGTCCGGATCTGGAGAAGCTGTCGTCGTCGCGGCCTCGCATTACCAGCGGACCAGCGGTTGGGCGATTGTAGTCGTCGCGCAGGAAATCAGGCATGCTGCGGCGGGGATCACCGCCTACACCACTGCGGCGCAACTCGAAGTCGAGCTCCTCATAGTTGCGGTCACTGCGGTTGCCGTTGCGGTAGAAGTCGCGCTCTCGCTCTTCATAGAGCTCTGCGGTGGGGTAGCGTCGCGACATTGCGCCGGTGAGCAGCAAGCAAGCGACCTGAGGGGAGGAGCAGAGAGGGGGAGGGGGAGGGGGAGGGGGAGTAAGTAGTCAAAGTAATAGCAGTGGTGGTGAGTGTTGAGTGTGGCTATGGCGGGGTGGTGAGCCACTCTCTCTCTCTCTCTCTCTTTCTCTCTTTCTCTCTTTCTCTCTTTCTCAGGCGCGACTGAGTGCGGATGAGCTGGGAAAAGGAGACTGGGGCAGGTGGGAAGAAAAGAAGAGGGCGGGCAGGGTAATGAAGAATAGGCTGTGCCGTGGCCTGACGTTATCGACAAGACGGGCCCAGTTGGAGTGCGTGGTGGGCATGCATGTAGTGGGGTGGGTAACAAGACCAAGGTCGGGCGCGCGCTCAGAATGCCCATGACGTAACGTCCACGCTACGCCAAACCACCCTCCCTGATCACCAGGATGCATCCTGCCCTTTGTGCCCAATCGCGGCGGCAGACGCTGCCCTTTTGGCCCAGCTCGCAGCAGCCCGCCCGCCATGTGCACTGCCGGCTGGAAGGGCCTCGCCGGCGAGGTTGAGGGTGAGGGTGAGCAGAAGAGTTTTTGCTGAGGCCACGCCGTGCTGTCTGAGACGGCGCCTGTCAGGTGTCGTCAGTCACGCTCAGCCCAGCCAGCACAAGCACCAGCACAAATGCAAAGAAGGGCTGCCACCACTACTTCCAGTCGGTACCGCGCGTTCGCACTACACCGAACCAGCCATGTCCCACACGTCCGGACACATGTCAGGCACCTGGAGCCGCTGCCCCCAGTCGCTACCTGATGTCGAACGACGGCCCCAGGAACACCACCTCGATCCAAACCCAGGCCCAACTTGAAGCGGCCCGATCGACACGCCCCAGGCCTCGACCCTCTCAGCTCTGTGTCTGTCCTCGCTGAATCCTCCGCCCGGTGAGATCTTCGTGCCCAACAGCGAGCCTGCGACGGCATCTCCGCGTCGACCCGCATGTCCCGCGTCGAGCATTTCCTGGTCTCGACGTCAAGGGCCCAGCTGCAAGCACCTTCTCTACCATTCTACTGTCGACGTACGCATTCTACACCAAACCATATGCATGGCATTAATCCCTCGCTGATATTGCCCCGGCCCAACTAACATGCTGACATGTGCACTTGGCTTTGCCCTGGCCCCTGTCCTATCCGGCATTGTATGCGGGATGACGTTATGCGGACACGAATTCCCCTCGGACTGCTCTTGCGCCGTCCAGGCTGGTTTTCAACAAGATACTTGCTTGTCATCCTGTCTACCATAAAAGTCAGGTTTATTATCAGTATACATACTATAATTCAAACATACCACATCATTTCCATTGCTGCATGTGTCGGTCATGGCGCCCATGGTTGGAATGGCACGCCTAGGAAGTTTCTAGAGCACGACCCGCTTCCCACAGCCAGAAATGCGTCTAGCGACAAGCGACCATCCCCATACGCTGTTGCGCCAAAGATGCAATCCAGGTGTTCGCACGACTGCCGCATGTGCATGCTAGTGTTTGCTAATCAAACCAGTCAAATACATATCATCAGCTCACTCGTGCCGTACATCCAGACCTAGACCCCATCGTCGCTGACGCCAGAAATCTTTTGCACGCAGCACTACAATCCATGTCTCATTGCCTGCGATGCTCTACACACAACTGACATGGGGGTGGCCACACGCAAACATTTGTTGATAAGTATGCTTGACATGCCCACCTTGCATCCTTTGGCCAATTCCGTAGCCACCCGGATGTCTGTGCCGGTTTGCCTTCCAGAGCAATACTCATCGTCCGAGAATGGCCTTTCGGGATCTGAGAGCCTGAACGTTTGAAGTCCTCTATGCTCCCATTAATTCTCTTTTCAATACTCCCCAGTGTGTTCAAGCAAGAGACGGGCAACTGGTTCCGGTGATAGAGCTTTCTAGGGGGCATCAAGCTGTACTGAACCCCGTTTCGTTTGTCCCTCCACGCTGCTTGTCAACTACCTTACCATCACCCATCTTGATTACGACACTGATTTTGAAGTCTGACTTTGCGGCATATTCCTACTTCATAATGTTCGTATCACAAAATTCTCCACAAAGTCAGTCACCCCATGCTTCGTACAGCTGTTGTATTCGCATGTCTCGCATGTTGTCTCGCATGTCACGTGACGCGCTTTGTTTGCTGCGACAACGCTGCGCCTTCCTAGTCTACGGACGAGGTCATGGCAAACAACACTCCACAGCTGTTTACATTCCAGAGCCAGCGAAAGTGAGCACCATCAACCCCAAACAGCTTCAATTACCGTGTATCGCCGTCTTGTTCAACACAGTCCTTGGCTTCTCCATACAGCCAGGCAGTTGCTAGACAAACATGGTACGCCGCTCTGGGAAAAGGTCAAACCGTGTCAGCCACTCGGGAAGTCGCAGCACGGCTTCTTCCAGAAGTCCCAACATAAATTCTGGCAATGTCTATGCAAGCCTGGGCGAAATGGCAGGGAGTGGTGAGTTTGTTCTCTTTCAAACAACACCAGAAACGCATGCCAGTTGTCGTATTCCCGCTGCTTCTAACCCAAAAGTTTACCTCGATTTTCAGCATCTTACAACTGGGAGAACCGTGCTGATCATATGTTAGAAGCGGAAATGGACTCTCCCTTCCTCCCAGAGAGCTGTCTGCTCGACGAGAACATTCCCATGTCTGGCACAGCCCGTAACAACAACGAGATTTACGAATATTTCGAGCGCGCTAAGAAGCCAGTTATCGGTGGGGCATGGCTCCAGCAACCTGAGATTCCAAACCCTTCAGAAGTCCTACGTGACACGTCCGGCTTCATCAACAGCGAATCACTCATCGAATTAGACGACCACGTTCGCCCACACAAGGTGGAGGGTGCATACGACGACAAAGAAGACTACTTGAGAACTTTGTATGAGCTCCTGCGCGAAGACACTATTCGTCCTCTGCGAGAGGCTATTGATGAGGTCCGTGCCGAGCCTTTCAAAGACGAAGCAGAGTATCAGAACCAAAGCATCGGCATCTATGACCCCGTCTACATCAAGTCGCTTGTACTCTCACCCAGAGGCCTGGCGACAAGAGTTGCATTCTCACTCGGACGGGCCAAGAAGCATGTCAGGTGAGTTGCGGTACGACCAGAGTGTATTCACAGCTAACATACTATAGATGGGGGCAGTCGAAGCGGCTCATCACTGGATCACTTGTCGCATTATCGTCCACAGATGATGCCTTCAAGACACAGTGTGTTCTTGCCATTGTCGCAGCCCGCCCCATCAGTGCATTGGAACAAAACCCGCCCACGATCGACTTGTTCTTTGCTCGACCCGAAGAGCAAGAAATTGATCCCATGCGCAAATGGATCATGGTAGAGTCTAGAGCCAGCTTCTTCGAGGCAAACAGGCATACGCTGTTGGCTTTGCAGCAACTGATGAGGGAGCCATTCATGCTATCAAAGTACCTTGTATACGCTCAGAAGGAGGTGGACCCTCCGGCGTACATCCAACACAACCCGTACACGAATCTCATCTCTCTTGTCAGCATGGAGGATGCTGAGGACTATAAGAATGTCAATGTACTCCAGAATTGGCCTGCAGCGTCTTCTCATTCCCTTGACGAATCGCAGAGCAGAGCACTGAAGCGTATGCTCACAAGCGAGTTGGCTATCGTACAAGGCCCTCCTGGTACAGGAAAAACGTTTGTATCTGTTGTCGCTCTGCAAATCGCTCGCGATAATTTGCGCAAGAAAGACGCACCTATCATTGTGACTGCGCAGACGAATCACGCTCTCGACCAACTATTACGACATACATCTGTATTCGAACCAAACTACATTCGGCTAGGAGGAAGGAGCAAGGACAACGATATAAAGAAGCAGACACTGTTCGAAGTCAAATCAAGGACACCACAGCAAAAAGGGACTGGTAGCGGTATCAAGAAGAAAGCGTCCGGCAAGATCAAAAGCTTGGCAACTGAATGCCAGAAATTGCTCGCTCCTATTGAAGCCAACAAAGGGCTGTTTGATCACGATTTACTCTTAAAGTTTGGGTTAATCACTCAGAAGCAGGCAGAATCACTGGAGATGGACTCACAAGACGCCATAGGGATCTCGCCATCCAACCATCCAGGCATTCTGATGGAACAATGGCTTGGTAGATGTCTTACGTTATGCGACAGACCAACTCTCCCTGAGGATCTCAACTGGGGCTATGAAGAAGAGGATTTTGAAGTCGAGCAATTGCAGGAACTTGAGGCAGAAGCGGTAGCACAGGATGATGACGATATCGAAGCTCTTCGCGGACCTGTCATTGAAATCAGCGATAACTTCAAGGGCACTGGTAACTATTTGAGTAATGATGACATTCGGGACATCTTGCACAAGACGAATGATCTTTACACGATCTGTACGGCTAACCGAGGTGCGATCTACAACTTTTTCAAGCGGGAAGTGAAGCGAACAATTGCAACAGAAATCCGCAAGATTGCAAAGACCTACCATGACAATGTTGTACAACGCAAGATCGGAGTGTTCGAAGAGAACGCACGTATTCTGCGCGGTGCACGTATTATTGGATGCACAACTACAGGACTCGCAAAGTACCGGGCTCTTCTATCCAGCCTTCATCCGCGCTTGTGTATCGTAGAAGAGGCAGCCGAGACTCTCGAGGCACCTGTGACTGCAGCCTGCTTCCCTAGCCTCGAGCACCTAATCTTGGTTGGCGATCACCAGCAGCTTCGTCCTCACACTCAGGTACGGGCCTTTGAAGACGAGCCATACTTCTTAAACTTGTCGCTCTTCGAGCGCCTAGTTCGGAACAATGTTGCGTTCGACACGTTGACGCGACAGCGTCGCATGATACCAGAAATACGACGTCTCTTATGTCCAATCTACCAAGACAAGCTCAAAGATCACCCCAATGTGGAAAACACTGGCCATCGTCCACCAGTTGAAGGAATGGGCGGAAACAACAGTTTTTTCTTCTGTCATGAATGGCCAGAGTCGCGCGACGCTTATATGTCTTCATTGAATGGACGAGAAGCGGACATGGTGGTGCAATTTCTCGATTACTTGGTTCTCAATGGCGTTGATGCCTCCAAGATCACAATTTTGACGTTCTACAACGGCCAAAGAAGGCAGGTAACTCAACTTATAAGAACGCACCCAAATCTGGGAATTTATCGAGGTATCCAAGTCGTCACTGTCGATAGCTACCAAGGCGAGGAGAACGATATTGTCCTACTCTCCCTGGTTCGCTCCAACAAGAAGAATTCCATTGGCTTTCTCAGCTCCGAAAATCGCGCATGCGTGGCATTGTCACGAGCAAAACGAGGGTTTTACATTTTCGGGAATGCAGAGCTTCTGGCTAGCCAAAGCAGTATATGGGGCAGCGTGGTCGAAATCATGTTCAAGAACAAGAAGCCAAAGGTCAAGGCTGGCCAGGAGCGGCGAGTGGGGTACCATCTCCCACTTGTATGCAGCAACCATGGGCGTAAGATGTGGTGTGAAGACCCTAGTGATTTTGAGCTCATCAAGGGCGGTTGTGACGTCAAATGCGACGGGGTATTGCCTTGTGGACACCGTTGTCCGTACACGTGTCACCCGTAGGTGTCCTTCCTGCGATATCTCTAATATCCAAACTAATCTCTGCCAGCTTCGAGCACGACAGAATCAACTGTACACAAAAGTGTGCTAGGCGTGTAGAGAGATGTGGCCACCCCTGTGTTGGTACGGTTGAAATCTTTTCGAGTGCATGTAAGACGCCTTTACTAACGTTCTACAGCTGAGTGCTGCGATCCATGCAGGTGCCATATGTGTGAACGTCGAAGCGATGGTATCAAGCCTGTCTTGAAAGTGGGACCGAGAGGAACTGTTTCCATTAGCGGACCGCGCTCCAACATGAAGAACTTGAGCCTCGAAACCAAACTTGACGTTCCTAAAAATTCTAATGAGGGAACGGCTTCCTCCACCACGCGCTCGGGAATGACCCAACTGCGACGAGGTGCTACGGAGCAATGGGATGCTTACGCATATGGCGGCGGTGTTGAAGATGACGACCTGAGAGTCCGCGCGCAGATAAGGCAAGAAGAGGCTGAGTACCTCAAACGTATTCAGACATGTACTTCAAAGCCTATGCAGCCTTCCGTTGGCAACCGACTCATCTCGACTTCATCAGTTAAGGCAGGGAGTGTTGAGACAGACACCGACTTGCTCATTGACTTTGATGCTGAGGCGCAGATTCAACCAGGGCAGGATCAGCCGAGAGGCGATTATGCGAGTATTGCAGCACAGAGTGCTAGTCAGACTCCGTATACGAACCTGCTTGACTAAGAGAGGGGGCAGCTGTGACAAGGAAATCGGGGGTCGGGAGTTTTGTCAAAGCTGTAGCAGAAGGGTTGTCATGTTTCAATGTGTTTTAGCATAAATGTCAAGTCTTTGGGCAGGTTTCTCTGAGGTGGTTTGGTGCAGATGGATGTATTATATTAGTGAGGTTTCGGGTAGAGGCTCTATGCCTGGGTATCTATCTCCATGCTTGGACGTGTGTATTTCAGTCACCCTTTCAGTGGAGTAGGCTCAGCCACTTGTGTCTGCATCCATTTTGACCTCGAAGATCTGTCCTGCCAATTTTGCAACATGATCCCCAAGTCCAGCCAACCCGGCCTTGATGTCGTCGATTGTTTGGGGCGCCAGGTTGCCCTTGCGCGAGTAAAAGTCTATGCCTGCAGGCGTAAACAAAGTCTTGGCAAAGTAGGTAACGACCCAGCTGTTGCCGGTGTCTTGCTCGTCGCCATAGCCTAGTATCTCCCATTTGCTTGTCGCAATCACCAGCCATCCCTTGCCACGCCAGTTGTAACCCAGACTAGCGATGCCGCCTGCTGCCCCTCCCTCTGCATCGGCTGGTGGTGCAGTGTTGGGCACATCAAAGGGCTTATCGAGGCCACGCACCGTCTTGAGCGCATCCGAATTCAGACCCTGGTACGTGACCACATCGTCAATCTGCGGCGGTGTGCTGGATGTAACAGGCGTGTATGTGATGCGGACGTTGCGGTTTTTCTTCCACATGGGCAGTGTAGAGTGCGTCACATTCCACGAGCCTGACAGCCACGACAACTGGGGCGGTGAGATTGAAATGGAGGATTCGGTCGCGGAGAGCGAAGACGGCGCACGGAGGGTCACCATAGCGAGTGCCGTACAATACAAATGGCTGGAGGTGGTTGTTGTGGTGACGTTATGGAGTCGTCGTGGGGCAGCGGGCGATTGGACTGTGGAGGACAAGGACGCGTGGAAACTGGAGAATATAGTGGAGATGGAGGCTGAATGCTATTGACGATCCGTTGCTAAGAGGTTGGTAGGACAACGGTTGTTTTTCCAGCCTACTCGTACGTGGCGGAGGCTCAGAGATCAGCCTAGACCACGGACAGCTGAGATGATTTGGCACGAAGCCATGATACAAACTTCGCTGCTGTCGCCGGTAGATGTACTACTACCTTGAATTAAAGTTATGATGCGGAACCCCAAGTATCAGTATCTCACTCACGGCAACGGGGACAGGGTGACAGGGCGGAAGATCGACGGTGCCGGGAGACAAGGTTGCCGAATGCACGAGTCACGGCACTCGGCACTGCAGCGCGCGCCACTCCAACAATAGACGGCTGCCATTATCCCCCCCACTGTCTTTGACACCACCACCAGCCTTGCGCCACGCACACGTAACGCTCTTGGCTATTTCAGCCTTTTTTTTCTCTTTCTCTCTGAACGACAATATTCCGCCTTCCAAGTTGAGAAAGCCGCATGTGGGAACATGCCAAAAATTTCAGTCACAAGACAGTATGCAGCAGCGTTCGTTTCGGTGGCGTTTGAGCATCAGCGCCCTTTCGAATGGCCCGGCGCTGACGACGCATGAAACCGCTTCGCACTCGCGGCCTTTGTAGGCTGTGCAGGCAGCTTCGAGGGACCGAACGTCTTGTCAAAGCCTAGTGAGGCTCCACTAATGCATGTCTTTCTCTACGATTAGTCGAGGCTCCAACGGCGCCACTCTTTTTTCTCCTCGTACCCGAGTGCTCAGCTGTTTCCATAATTATTGCATGTGGCCTTGGGTGGCTGGGCTGAGACGAGCTACGTAACGTTGTAGTGGTCAACGTTACCCCAGCTTCCTTTGACATATAATCCATTAACGCCTTTTGAACTTTCTTCTTTCAACGATATCTACATACAAGGCTTTTTTTTTCTGCACAGCTAACGGATAGACGGTTTATTTGGTTCGGACATTTACGACTTACGAATATCCGATTGACAACGAACAATACTACGACCTCCAATTATTTGAGCTGGGCTCTACGTAAGATTTGGAACACACCTGTACACAACAACCATCATGTTCTCAAGAAGCATATTACTGCAGGCCTCGGCCATGCTGTCCATCCTCTACACATCGGCCTCTGCCCAGAACGCCTGCAACAACTCGCCCGACCTATGCAGTCGGCCATATAACAATATCACCTTCCTCGGCGCACACGACTCACCTTTCCTCCGAAACGAGGAGACATCCTTTTCCACGTCAGGAAATCAATACTACAACACGACTGTTCAGCTTGACGCTGGCGTACGGTTACTTAGCGCCCAACTTCACAAGTCCAACGACACTGGCTTGGCACAATGGCATCTCTGCCACAGCAGCTGCAACCTGCTCGACGCTGGCACTCTTGAAGATTGGCTCGGCGAGATCAAAACTTGGATGGACGCCAACCCAAACGACGTTGTAACCGTCCTCCTCGTAAACTCCGACGGCGCCTCCACCTCTGACCTAGGCACAATATTCAGCTCCTCGGGCATCGACAAGCTGGCCTACACCCCACCCTCTACCTCCGTTCTCCCCCAGACCTGGCCCACCCTCGACGCCCTCATCGGCAACAACACGCGCCTTATGACCTTCGTCGCCTCGCTCTCCGAAGGCGCCTCAACACAATACCCCTACCTCATGGACGAATTCACCTTCATCTTCGAAAACGACTTTGAAAACGTCGACCCCTCCAACTACTCCTGCACCCCCAATCGCCCCACGGGTCTCGGGTCCCCCGATGCAGCAGCCCAGTCCGGTCGCATGTTCCTCCAAAACCACTTTTTGTACCAGAACCAAATCTTCGGAATCCAGTCGCCTAACGAGACGTATGCGAATGTTACGAATGGGGCGACGGGCTTTGGGGCTTTGGGCGTGGCGCTGGATGAGTGCACCGGTGTGTATGGGAAGCCTGCGAATTTCGTCCTTGTTGACTTTTTCAACATGGGCCCTGCGATTGATAATGTTGATCGTGCGAACGGGGTTGTGGGTTCGATTGTTGGCAGGAAGAGTGTGAGTGATGAGGCGTTGGTGCAGAGTACGGGATCTGGGGTTATGGAGAGGGGGAATTTGTTGGCAGTTGTGTTGGCGGTCGCTGTTGCTGTTGCGTTTGCGGGATGATCATCTTTTCATCTTTTTTTTGGGGGGTTGGGGTTTCCACGAGATTTTAAACTGCATGGCGATGGCGTTTATTACACTAGGTTTTATCTCTGTCCTATGCGACATCGAGTTTGGGGCGTTGCTTGCTTGCTTGCTTTAAGCACGTGAGACTTATGTCTTGCGGATACATAGTATAGCTCTGGGTCGGACACCATGGTGATGAATTAAGATGCTACGATTGTTCAATACTGTATCAAATCTTATTTGCTATCCCGTAAAATAGTGACTATTATCCAACTTCCCTCTTCACTCTTCAAACGGCGTAAACCTCTCAAGTACACCTTCCGCGTCCCTCAATTCCCTCACCAGCACCTCCCGATGACCCTCACTCCTAACCCTGATTTCACATTCAAACTGCCGAGGTCTGATGTTAAAGCCCTCCGTGTAATTGAAAATGTCATATCGCACACCCGGTTTAGGCAGGATATCAAACGCCCAAAGTATCTTAGCCAAGGCAGCAAAGAGGCTATTTTCCGCCAAATGAGCCCCAGGGCAGATTCTCCGGCCCCAGCCAAACGACGAGTGACCTGACTTTGCAGGATGCGGCTTCCCGGAAACATGTGTGGGGTCTATTGCGCGCTGGGCAAGTGCCTCGTCGAGGAAACGGGTGGGGTCAAAGTGGTGAGGGTTTGCATAGTACTCTTCGTTCAAATTAATAGCCCACGAATTGCCGATGACGGTGGTGCCGGACGGAATGTAGTGTCCGTTGTAGTAATCGTCCTCTGTGGAGGCGTGCGGTGTGCCACCGAGGACCGCGACGGGACGCCAGCGTAAGACTTCTTTGACTAGAGCACGGATGTAGGGGAGATGTGCTTCGTCTTCGAATGTTGGGGTACGGTTGGAACCGATGACTTCATCCAGTTCCTTGTGAGCTGCGTATAGGGTTTCCGGGTGTGTGATGAGAGCAAGAAAAGCAGTGCAGAGGGTCGAAGCTGTCGTGTCGGATCCAGCACCGAATAGGGATGCTGGGATGTAGGAAAAGTCACGGTCTGAAAGTGAGATATCCTCTTGCTTGCGAAGTTCCAAGAGCAGCTTGCACAGCGAGTCTGGGATGTCTTTGCCTTGACTCTTTGCCTTGGCAAGATCAGAGCGCACTGTTTCGACTAATGCCATGTTTGCGGCTGCTTCTTCTCGCCCCCGGCTCTTTATATCTGCTTTCCAAGGCGCCAACACATCGGGAATGTGTTTCAAAATGGGAAACGACTCGACGAGGTACTTTCCAGGCACATTGAGCGATGCAGCGACGTGCATGAATTGGAAGCGCTGGTGGATGACGCGGGCGTTGAGCGAATCAATACGGTGCCCGTATGCAACACAGAAGACGATGCTGGAAGTAAAACGCTCAAGCAATTTCTCCCAACTTGCAGGTCTTTCTAATAGTTGGGAGCAAAGCCGTGATGCCTCTGCCGTTTGCACAGGTTTGTATAACCTTAACGCTTTGGGTGTTAAAGCCTGGTGAAGGAGCTTCCTTCGCACACTCCATTCCTTGCCGTAAGGCTGCACCAGTATGCTTGCATTGTCCCACAGTATCTCGCCCATAGCCACCATGCGAGGTCGAGATGAATATTTGGCGCTCCGTTTCTCCATTAGCTCCACGGCAATGTCCGGGTCTGATATCACGATTGTGGGTTTACGACCGATCCATATGGTAAACATCGGGCCGTAAATCTTCGACCAGTCCTGGAACTGGATCCATGGCTTCGATTTGGGGAGTTGCAGCTTGTTGCCTAAGAAAGGAAGAGGCGTTGGGCCTGGAGGCATCCGCAACCATATCCATACGTCATGGAGCAGCGCTACAAGAGGTACCGCGACTATGAGAGAGAGCCATAGATAAGGCGGTGGGTGGACGAGCGCGTCTAGTGCCATGTCGGTTCAGTGTTACGAATAGCATGAAGACGCTGCAGCAGAATATTTGTGAGCTTGAGATGCACTTACATTGTCGAAGCCAAGTAGTACTAAAATACCCAATGTCACGCTCGGCAGTTGTACATGCTCGCTTCTTTCGTTCCGCGATGCATGGCGGGGAATGCGGGGTGTTGGTCGTTCCTCTGTACTATCTCCGAGCGAACCCCACTACTACAACCAGCATGGTCTCTTTTTCTTGTATGATTGGTCTCTATGTGAAGTTCTCAGAAATCCAAAAAGAGCATCAAAGTATAGCAATCAAAGAAACAAAAATCAGATTTGATATTTTCGTACAACCCAAAAAAACATACAACAGCGGGGATTCGCCAGTGGTCACCCACCTGACTACTGATCCGCCGGTCAAAGGCTTAACGTACGGAGATCCAACGAGAGCCAGTGTTACACTCTGCCGATGGTCGTATGTGAAAGAATGCGCAAGATTGGAATTTATCACCTGTTGTTGTTGTTGTTGTTGTTGTTGTGGATTGTTGATAGATTGAAGTCGATGCTACCCGCAGCTTGCGCACTGATTTGCGGTGAGTCCATCCCAGCTATTATGCAAGAATATACCGCACTCTACACAGTAAGCAAAAAGATGACGACTGCAAGAGTATACGTGTCTGTGTGTGATGCGATCCATATGTGACAGTTTTGGTGGCTCCTAATCAGGATAATTACTGCAAATTGGTGGAGGTGATAGTAATACCGAGCACGCCCGTGTAGGCAGGGAATATACGAGGCATCCCCGGTTCTTATGTACCGAATGTTTGGGGAACTCAGCTCGGCTTGACTCTGGCAACAGATCAGTGGGTATCTGCAAGCATGCTGTTGTGCATATCACCTAGAGTGGTAATTGACGTGGTACTTCCTGGTTTAGGCTTGTATCTCGCTCCAGTTGGTACTCATCAGTTGGCAGTCCCCAGCACCCGGCGCTATCCTCGGCTGGTTGGGCGAACAGAGCGACGACTGGGTTGGATGGCGACAACTCATGTGATTACGACCAAGTTTCAGGAAGCCGGTTGGGGGCGTCTTAGTTGGCACCTAGGAATGATATGTAGATCGTCGAAGAACGATTGAGAGCTTCCAGAATGTCAGTTCGTCCAGAATAATGACGGGCCTGCGTACCGGTGCGGCAGGGATACATAGGATTTCGCCACCCATGCTGTTTACTTGCTACGAAGGAATCATAATGACTGACAGTAAGGGACCGGGATCATGGCTAAGTAAGCTTGCGACTATTGGCGATAGAGAAAAGTCCAAAAGCGTAGCTTTTCTGGCCATCGACAATCGCCACGTGTTCTGGCAACATCCCTCGAAGGCGCATGGTATCGCTATGAAGTCTGCAATCAGGAAACGTAGTCTAGTATATGGTAGCCACATTCTTGCTATGGTGTAGCCTAATTTCTCAAGTTTCACTTAGTAGTATAAAAGTGCGCACACGCCTCAATATTGGACAATTGTTTTGGTCCCCATATTAACTTTACTTGACTGCAGACTTCTGCGTACCACCAGCGCATGTAGGTAGGCATCACAGCTGATCTATTAGACATTTTCCAATAGAATAGAGCCACCCTCTACGAATTCCAAGCTCACAAGTGTAGCCTAGCTTCTCCACAAAGCCGCTACGAGCTAGTCGCCAGCATTGCACACATGGCAATCAGTCACACATTCCGTGGCAGATGTTGTTTAACAATAGTCGTACGCCACAAACTTAGCCTGGTGGCGTTGATTGACGGATTGTTATCCGGCGGATAGTCTTTCCGCCAGAAACACGAAGGCCAGCTGCTTGCGAACGCTGGGCTGACTCTAGGCCCGTGTTGCGATGGAAAAGCAAGGCTCGGGTACATAAGTAAGTCATTATTTCAATACCAAGAAGTCAAGAAGCTTAAAGAGCCCCACTCCAAGGGTAAGGCCATGAGCTGATCATGATGCCAGATTGCCGTCGCTCCATGCCCTCGTGTGGGTCTTGGTTGGGGTCTGGTGAGCACGACGAATGTGAGCACACCATGCTGTTGTTTTTATCTATACATGATTACCTGTAAGCAGCATGTCTATGCTTGGATAGTTGCCATCAGTCATGTTGAGCAATGCTGTTGGCTTCCGCCTGAAGATCTAAAGTCAAGAGGGATAACCCAGTAGGTCTGGCACCAAGGGATAGTGGCAAACAAAGGAGTCCGTCACTATTGCGTTGTCATGGATAAAGTGTTAAAGACTAGCAACAATGATCGTAGTCTAGTGGTCGAATTTTGTTTTTCGCCATTGCTCGATATTTTACTTACATGATGCCAACACTTGTAAAATGAGCTTGTGCTTTTCAAAGGAATGTGGCAAATGATAGGTTGATTGGACCTTGTCGTCTGCATGGCACCAGGAAAGCGGGCGGTAAGCCTGGTGCATGGCGCCTGGAGTATGCAGTGGAGAAGTGGCACGGTAGAGGATACTGGTTGGGGCAAAGCTGCTCATCTGTCACTTATGCCTCCCTGTCAGATGATAACGAGTACATACTCAACAAGGGCGTTCCGTCTCAGCGGGTCAGCCTCTGGTGCAGATTTGGGAGGCTTACTTGGCATCTAACGGTACCAAGCCATGAGACTCTTGCTCGGATAAATCAGAGCGTCCTCAGGCTGCGGCCCCGCTGGTCCATAGGTTGATTAGGCCAAGGCCGTCCAAGAGTTGGCGTGTATTGGCAGACAGCGTACAGCCGGTCAAGCATACGGGCTTTCTTGGATGCGTTAGCTTTCGCCGCGCTGAGCTGACCTCCAACGGTGCATTCGCAATTTGCATCGACACAAGACTCGTCGGACGTCAAGATTGAAGTCGAGGACAATGCGGCTAACAAACCAAAGGACGCGGGGTGTGCGGCAGTTAGCGATGCTGTAAGTAGATTGTCCGACCCCACACAATGCCTCGCTTCCCCAGAAAACAATTAACTTAAATCCAACAGCTCGGCGCCCGGGTTCAGCCTCGACCTAAGTAATCTATCAGCATGAACATGCACGGCTGGTCGCCTCGCAGAATTTCCGAGTCGAGCTACGGCGTTGAACGATGCGGCGGCCATGTGCAGGAGACAGTTGGTGTTGTCGGCTGCAGCCCGGCGAGCTGGGCTTGGCCAAGCCAGCATCACGGCGACCCAAGCTTTGCCCCAACCCACCACACCACCGTCAGAAGAGCATGGCCGCCTATTGCTATTCAGGTGCTCGTCTTGCCAAATGATTCATAATTACCAACAATAGCCGCCTGGGCTTGCCTGAGGCTGTCCATGGAATCGAAACTAGATAGCAGTTCGTGCCTCATGGTATCCACTGGCCCTTGGTCTCCGAGCTCCAGATTCCGCCTTCGGGGTGCAGGCCCATTTATCCATCTTGGCAGCTCGTGACATTTCCGCAACCAGAAGAGCTTGTCGCCAGACAACAATGTGGTTGGCTCCCCTCAGACTCGAGGCAACCAGGGAAGAGGTGAGCGGCGGATGCTAAGCAAAATTATCCGCGGGACGAGTCGCCTGTTGTCTTCACCACCTAGCTCTACCCATCCAAGACTCGGCATGATAAGCCTCTGGCCTGGCCAAGCCCAGCATGGGTGGAACAACGAAACAAGGCAAAATGCCCATTTCCATCTTGCCGCTGCCGCAGAGCCTTCGCATGTGATTTGCCGTGGGGAAAAGTCCTCATCGCTTGCGGCAGACCAAGCCCACCGTCTCTTGCGATTCTGAAGCATCGACTGACGATCGACTTTGCCTCGTCTGTCGTGTACACGGCAAGTAATAGCAACCGTCACAGCGGGCCATTTCGCCCTCCAACTCGCACTTCTCTGATCGTCGAATCGAAGCACTTTACCTGGGCCAAGTACGGCTTGGTGTCCTTGCATCAATTCTTGTGTCTCCATACTTACTACTATTTGGCCCATGCAAGTATCGACTTAGCCGCCCTGGCACGTTGTGGCCTTCTCGAACGCCTCCAGACACCCCATGGGGCCACCCCATTTGGCAGGGGACGTTAGAAACACTAACATCAAGCCAACAACTAGCGTCCAAAGGAAGGACCTACACACAGCTTCTCGGCTACGGCGCTGCGGCCCTCGTGCCCACGGCTGGCTCAATCCAGCTTTCTTGGTACAATCTTACTGGCGCTCTCCACACTTGCTGTCAAGCACCCGTCCTGCACACTGCGGCATCCATGTCCGTCGAACCGCCAGGGATAATCTCCATGTCCTAGTCTAGTCGTCCCGTCCCCACTCCCGGGATCGCCTCTGGTACTCACGCGTCAGATATAAGTACTCTACTCGTCGCCCCATGGCCATTCTGATCGTTCCTCACGGCCATCTGCAAACCCGGTGTGCGACCCTCCTTCGTTACCTTCGGCCTTCTTGACTCTTCGTCGTCTCAACTCGTCGTTTGCCCAACATGGTCGGCATGGGACTGAGCGCCCCCAAGGGCAACAGCAATGTCCGCGAGGATGCACCTCAGTTCGAAAAGGTCATCTGGTACAAGCATCCCAACATGCGCAAACTCTTCTGGCACAGCTCAGTTCTTTGCATTGCCTCTGCCACTACTGGTTATGATGGGTGAGTAAAATTCAGCTTGGCAATGTATGCTTTCGCTAATCCTTAAATCCTAGTATGATGATGAACTCTTCGCAGCAGATGAACAAGTGGACCGATTACTTTGATAACCCTAGCGGTAACCGCCTTGGTATAATGAACAACATGTACAACATTGGTTCCATCGTCAGTTTTTTCCTGGTCCCTTACCTTACCCAATGGACCGGGCGTAAAATCCCAATTGCTGTCGGCTGCTCCATCATGATTGCTGGTGCTCTCGTCTCAACTTTCTCAACCAGCTGGCAACTCTACATGGCCGGTCGTTTTATCCTCGGTTTCGGTAACTCGTTTGCTCAGATGTGCTCGCCTATTCTTCTCACCGAGATCTGCCATCCCCAACATCGTGGTATCTTTACTGCTGTCTACAACTGCCTCTGGAACTTGGGTGCTCTCTTTGTTGCATGGATTGCGTGGGGCACATCCCAAGCCGACAACAACTGGTCCTGGCGCTCTATTACCCTTCTTCAGGGTCTCCCATCGTTTCTCCAGCTCATGTTCATCTGGTGGGTTCCTGAAAGTAAGTAACGTGGACACGAATATCCATTTGCAAATCAAGCTAACGTTGAGACCAAGGCCCACGTTGGTTGATCTCTAAGGAACGCTACGAGGAGGCGCTGGACACTCTTGCATACTACCATGCTGAGGGTGACCGTGATAATGTGACCGTCAACTTTGAATACACCGAGATGAGGGAAGCCATCCGAATGGAGGCCGATGCCAAAACCAACTCCAGATATATTGACTTCTTGAAGACCAAGGGTAACAGATGGAGATTGGCCATTCTCATCTCCCTTGGTATCATTTCCCAGTACTCTGGTAACGCCCTTTTCTCCAACTACATCAACTTGGTCTACACTGGTGCCGGAATTACTAGCCAGGATCAGAAGATGGCCGTAAGTTTAGCTACGATTCTTATCAAAAAGGCCTCTACTAACCCATGACATAGTTGACCGGTGGTGAACGTATCTTGTCTCTCGTCGTATCCACATATGCAGCTACCTTGATTGACAAGGTCGGACGTCGTCCCCTCTTCCTCGGCGCAACCACTGGCATGATGTTGTCGTTCGTTTGCTGGACCATCACCTGCGCCGTTTACGAGAACTCCGGCGAGACAAACAAGGGTGCTGGATACGCACAAATTCCCTTTGTGTGGCTCTTTGGTGTATGCTATGCCTTTGCCTGGTCTGGTTTGCTTGTCGCCTACGCTCTCGAGATTCTGCCCTACGCCCTCCGTGCCAAGGGCCTTATGATTATGAACATTACCGTCCAGGCTATCCTCGCCGTCGGCGGTCAGACCAACCCCGTCGCTTGGGATAACCTCCCTAAGCACTGGAATCTGGCACTTTTCTACACTTTGTGGATCTTCGTCGAGCTCGTCTTCGTCTACTTTGTCTACCCAGAAACCAAGGTATGTATACGCATCTTTCGCCACATGAACCCGTTGCTGATTATGTGCTTCAGGGACCCACTCTTGAGGAAATCTCGCGCATCTTTGACGGCGATGATGCTGTTCCCCACGTTGACATGCACGCCATCGAAAAGGGCGTCCACAGCGAGCACCTTGACAACCTCGGCTCCGAGAAGACTCCTCATGTCGAGCAAGTTCGTGTTTAAGGGGTGCTAGCTACCCCTCGCCCTACAGTCTAGTTGTTGTAGTGATTGTAGGGATACAGTTTAGTATTGCAAGAAGTTGCTTCTCAGAGCTACATAGCTTTGATTACTATTACATACTCTTGCTTCATATGATTAGTACTGCACAAAGTGATATCCGTAATGCATCAATCTTTCATTTATGAATAAAGGCTCAAATACGTGTAATCGATCGTGACGAAATTGCTCGATTCCCCATGAATAGTGAGTAGCCTGTCCAAACTCGATTTCTATTCAGACGAACGACAAAGATTTTGAGTATTTTACAAGATATTGTGTTCGAGGTTTTGGAAATCATCTTTACATGTTCTGCGGGCCGCATTAATTGTTTCAAGCAGCGCATAAAGTTTCCATATTATACCGATAATAATCACATACCAGAGATTTAGCCAATAGAGCTCCAAGACATAATGCACGTCTCTAAATCTGCCATGTTCGCGAATGACTCTGCGAACTCGGTTTGTCGCGAGTTATTCAAATAGAACCGGTAAGAACGATAGTGGGCGAGTAGACTCACGACTCAGGTTAGGGTTACGATCTCACGTCAGAATACCCAAGCTTCCCATCCGTATATGTGCGTAGTTGTCTAGTTCCGTGCATGTATAAATATATATAACAGGTATTATATCTCTCTACGCCTTAACTGCCACGATCACCATGTTTTGTTTTCTATCGAAGAATTGCTCAAAACCGCTTAAATTTGAATTTCGTCAATCAAAATGAGATTCGTTTCCCTTTCCCTTACGCTTGCGTTCGCAAGCATAGTCTTTACCACCTCTAGCCAGCCAATCAACTCATCCAGTATTGCCGCAATACGAACTCACAATCGCAAACCCATTTTCATATTTGAACTTCTGACTAACTCTTCTTTCCAAAGGACAACAGCTGTAATAGCCCAATAAGGCGTTTACTTTGTTAATGCCTTATTACATGCATACCGTACTTACAGCACCACGCCTGAGCCGCTCAAGCCGGTCGAGACACACGATGCATCGGAAACGTCAGATATAACCTTCAGAATCATTAAACTTCTGAACTGTGACGACATTTGCCACATAAGTTATCGTGGTGAGGACGGGACATGCCGTTAGTCGTTCACAAGTATGCTGCTTCAGATATGTATCACTGACCGACTTAAGTCCATAGAGAACTATGCCGAACAATACAAGATTTAGTCTGCTAGTTTGCATGTAGCTTTTTCCAAAGAAGTTGTTCACATTAGCATTTGTGCACTCTAGTCAATAAATACATAACATTTTCGCCCATGTATGGTTTTGTAGCGCTTTTGCGCCAAAGTATATTATGGAAGCAGTGATCAAACTCTTTAACGCATAAGCAGTTTGTTAATTAAAAGATATTAGGCATGTTCATTTTCAAGAGTAATCACCCACCTCTGGGCTCGAAAAAGATGATATTCAATCGCATTCTAGCAAGTGCAGCGAAAAGAAAATATGAGAGAGAAAGTCATGAGCTATATGAACGAAGTGCTGAGGTAATGATTGCCATTATCTTCTTGTTATGCTTAGTGTAACCCATCTGGTTAGCTGACGGCGTTGGTTATCTCCTCAGTTAAATCGTGTGTTCTATAGTTTGACGGGCACTATATGAGACGTATGAAATCTTCGCTCTCTGAGCGTGAATTCCATGGTTGGCCTCAATCGTCCGGAAGAACCTGTTCTCTATGGTTTTATTTTAAAAAGAACGTCCGATTTTGCTGCAAGAAAGCCATCGACACCCAAGAATCATGTAGAGATGTTCAGTTTGTGCCCATGTTTCGCGCCCACAGTTCAACAAGGTCAATATAGATCGCATTTGCGACAGCGTATCCTCTTTGCGATATAGTTTTGAGTAATTGGAGGATAAGATCTTGTTCCTTTTTGTGAGAGACACGCGCTCCGGCGATGCGAAGTGGAATGAAAAGCAAAAGGCCAGCAAGACCATGATCAAGCAATGCCTGACCCAATCGAAGGATCTCGTTCATGTGCATTTCAATGCTTGATCTGTTTAGTATTGGAGCCAGCGGTGAGCCAGGCTGGTTCCAATGCCTGTGGTAGTCGTAGGAGCCTGAGAGATAAATGCTTATGGCGTGATAGTATGTTCTTGCTACGAGAAGATCAGCGTCCACCTCAGAAGTATCTTTTCCCCATGCCTCCGCACATATCCACCATTGTTGCAACCCTTGCTGTAACTCAATACCCTCATTAGCAAGCTTCTGAGCTTCTTCGCGGTGCAGGCTAGAATGTAGGTATGTTTCTTCAGTTTGAGCAAAGCGAAGGGTGCGTAGGCTCAAGTCACAGAAATGCGGCAGCATATCGAATAAGGCCTCTTTGGGATTCCACAGCCTTTGACCCTCTTCGCAACTCCACCATTGTGACAGCGCATTGGTCCATTCAGGCGCACTCAGAAAAGTAGGCCGTGAATATATCAAAGCCCGGGCAATCTCGAAGATACGAGTTGTGAAAAAGAAATTGCGCCTGCGGCTAGCACCTGCATTTGTCAGCAGCAGATGTGCTGGGTGCTGCAAACGTAGGATGGCACATGTGCCATTCAGGAAGTGTGAGAGCCAGTCCGTCCCACTGCTGTCCCGCATCAACTGTGTGGAGTCAGTATGACGGCAATTCTATCTCGGCATTCCCCCCGACACACCTCGAATAAAGCCAGGAAGAATGTTGACCACAGCACAGCAGGACCCGCGAATGAGTTTGACATGATAAGAATTCTAACACTTTTCACAGCCTGGCTGTATGAATTCAGAGCTTGAACTTGGTTCTTCCTCGCTCCTGTTGTGTTAAACAACAATTTTTCTTGCTGACAACGATGGAGCGCAGCAATAGCAGAGACTGCACTGCTCAGCGCAGGAGATTGGTGCAACCAAAGCTGCAATTCGCTCTGCCAGGATAAGTCGTTCTTGGTGAGGATGTTCATGGGTAAGAAAGAATTGAAGAAGTAGGCCAAATTGCGATCGAGGTCCATTATTGGCTGAGCCTTGCTACCAAGGCTCTGTTCAACAAAGACTAGCGCCACTGGACGTCGGGTGGAAAACACGCATGACTGCTTTGTTCGCTTGCAATATTCACACGGGATACCGCCGCAACACTCATTTCATGTCAGCACGGGAAGTTGGCGACACCAGTTGACTCACCTTGATCTTCCGCTTGGCACATGCGTCACATCTCGACTTTCGCGCGCGACGGCCATCGAAAGGCCCTACACTAGACCCCATTTGTGCCCGATGCTCAGATTGCCTTGATAATGGAAAGAAAGAGTGTTCTTCTCGTACTTGCTAAGAACAGATATCAGCCTTCTTCGAATGTGGGAATGAAAGAGCGCAGTTGCGGCGTCGATTGGTTTTGACTCTGCGTATAGAGGCGCAGCCAACGAGGCTCTGCGCACGCGCCTTCCTTGATTGGGAAATATTAGAGCGCTCTCCATATTCGCCTAACCTTCCCCACGCGGGTCCTCCACCAACCAATCTTTAGCTTGAGAAGACCAACCTATCGCCATTTTGTCAGAAACGAGTAATGTCAAGGCGTGGATGTTTTCTATACAGCAGAGCCTTCTGTCGACTTGCCTCCAAATGGAAATGAAAGGGCGCTGCTACGTGTTAGTGGCATTCACTGAAAGTGCATAGAGACGGTTCTATAAAGCGACCATCCTGTGCAACAAATAGTCTCATGCAAACAAATTCATCTTGCAACTTACCTCTTACGATATCTTTGCGCTTTCCGCCATGTGCACTTTCCCTGCCTCCATCTTAGCCTACATGGCAATTCTTCCTCTACTTTCTGCAGCAAAAATAACCATCGGACATGTTGGCCGAGACAACATAACAGTTGGGGGCACATCCATTCTCTTGACAGACACGGATCGCCTAGATCCTTTTATCAACGATGGACGAAGCCGCTCGATCGTGGTTTCAAGCTTTTATCCTGTCCTGAAGTGCACGAGCAAAGGAACTAAACCTTATATGCCGCCTCAGACAGCCGCTTTCATGGATGAGAAGTTCTCGGTCTACGGTCTCCCCAACGGAACATTCTCGTCTTTCGAATTCGAAGCATGCAACACGCCAACAGCCCAAGACCTATGTCCTACACCAGCTCTCCCACTGGTGCTATTCTCTAGTGCGCTGGGTACTAGCAGGTATCTATATAGCATCATGCTGCAAAGCATCGCATCTTCAGGATATCTAGTTGTTTCTATCGACCATCCATACGACGCCGATATTGTCGAGTATCCTAATGGAACCATCATTACCGGTGTTGATATTCCTGACGACAAGATCAATCAGACAGTGGCCACCCGTGCGGATGACATTTCGTTTGCCGTCAACAGCCTCCGCAAAAGTCATGTTTCTAGAAAACTGTTCCCAATCCATACGATCCTTCAAAAGTTCCCTCAGATTGCTGTTCTGGGCCATTCTCTTGGAGGCGCGGCTGCAGGAGCAGCGGTACTGCAAATCCCTTCTGCGCGTGGGGGTATCAATCTCGATGGAACCATGTTTGGTTCAGTCCTCGATAAGGGCATTGATAGGCCCTTCATGCTGATTGGTCATGCGAATAAGACGCAAGAAACAGACCCCTCCTGGAAGACAATATGGCCAAAACTGCGAAGCTGGAAGAAAGAAATTGAGGTCCGCAAATCGGTGCACTATTCATTCTCTGACCTTCCTGTACTTATGAGCGCAATGGGGCTTGGAAGCGCGCAGGTTCCGGCCATTGGTGACCTGCTAGGTACGATTGAAGGACATCGGATGATGCAACTTACAGTTGCTCATATCGTTGCTTTTCTGGATTTCACCCTGAAGTCTCGTGGACAGAGAGGATTTGCAGAGGTGGCCAGGCAATTTCCAGAGGCCGCGACTATTGCTTGAAAGCTCTTCTTTACCATAGATCTTCACACAGTATATAGCGTAAATGCTTAATAAGAATACGTCAGTCTTTTAGAGCTGTAATATTCCTCCATCTTTGCACCTAGAGATGCGTGGCGCTGAGGATTACCATTGTCAGATTACCTATGCCAAAAGTTCCGCTCTGACCACTTATTAGGTGTGAAACTCCTAAGCAGCTTAAACTCCCCATATACTACTTATTTAGCACCTTGAATTATCGTCTTGTATGCAATCAAAACAAAAACGGCCAAGATGCCCTTCGATCTCTCAGTGATTCTTAAGTCACTTCGAGCACAAGTGAAGATGGCACGAAGCCGACCAGCCATGTAGTCACGCTAAGTAACAACATCTAACCAAAAGGAAAGTATCAAAGTGCATGACACGCTACAATAATCTTAGTATGCACAATTATCCGACAGGAAAAAAGAAACTTGGACATATCTCACTCGCGTATCTATCACTTAAGGACGCTTATGCACTATATTTCATTTTATCCAAACCTTCTCAGAAGCATATATGATCGTTTAATGATGATATTAGTACTGTCTATCTAACATCTAATCTAACGAAAGCATGCATCTATTATAAAAACACGTTCGATAGAGTAACGTATCAGGAGATAATTTTCGTGCTTGTAGGACGCAAGCTCACCCCTACTGATTGGAGTCTTGGGTTTTATGTTTGCATCCTGTGGTCAAAGGCTCGCAAGTAGTAGTACTACTTCCACACGGGATAGCTGTTTAAGTTGTTAGTAACATGCCCAAGTTATGTGAAGGATCTAGTACCCTCGCAATGATTACTGCAGCATTGATTGCTCACAGGGTCGCATGGAACTGTAATGTTTAGTAAATAAAGTTATCTTGTAAAGCGTCAATACTAACGTCCGTTAATAATACATTGGCCATCCTGAAGCTCAGCTGGGATAGCTATAGCCGCCACAACACCGATGACAATAGGGATGATGGCAATGAACTTCATGATGTATGTTACGCTTTTACAATTCTTCTTTGCTAAAATAGATGATAGTGTATTTGGATACTTCAGGAGGAGTTTTTTTGTTTCAATCAGTATTAGTGAAGCAGGTATTTGTATTCTGTATAACCGGTTGAGATCTTATGTTTTCGCCCAGCACACCCGGTCATCTCTTGAGCATTACCGCCAAGGCCATAGTTAAATATGATCAAATGGTCGGGATAGTATGTTTCCGAAATCGAGTCAGCGCTATGGGGCTGTACCAATGTTCCATGGCGAATTAAACCCCCCATTGAGATGCATTTTTCCGTTTGTTGACTGGGGGTGTAAGCAATTACTGCAGTACGTGCAACGGTTTCCATCATATCCTCGAATATCCTGGCAATCGAATAAGCTGAAGATCTAACAAAAACCTCTATTGAAGTTGACGTTCACGATCATCGGAAACAAGCTATGCTGATACAAGCCGCTGTGGCTTGGGCTTTCATGAATCTGGAACGCTGACTTCCGCAACGAGGGAGCAGGCTTTAGTAGCAACCGTCAAAGCTAGGCTTGATTCGGGAGCGTAAGTACTCGAGAGCTAGGTCAGAGCGCTGGTCAACATGCCAGTCAATCAACTCAAGTTCAAGGACAAGCAGGCACGATACGGCAAAGGTTAAACGATCACGGAGTAAGTAAGAATTCTCTAGTATAATACTATCTATCCCTATTCTGGCCAAGCACGTAAGATTCCTCTTGTTTTAGTTAGCGCTGTAATTTAAGTCGCCCTTTCGCTCTTCTCTCTTTTCTCTCTTTCTTTTACACTTTTCCTACTTACATTTTACGAGAAAAAGTGAAAGAGAGAGAAGGGGGAGAAGAAGAAGAAATAAGAGGAAGAGAGAGAGGACAGAGTCGAAGAGACAATCTTCTTACTTTTTTATTTTATTTTATCTCACTAAGGAAAAAAGTACAAAACAGATTAGTGTCTTCGCGAGGTAGGGGCCCCTGCTTACTGCGTAGTTATTTAACCTCTCACCGCGTGGTCGTTTAACTTTTGCCGGCATGATACACACTGCCCCTACCACCACTACTAAGCGCCCCGCATTTCGCCAATGCTTTCCTATCGGATTAGCTTGGCGGTCATACTGTCATCTCGCAGAATCTTCAGGCTTATATCCTATGTAAACCCGTCAAAGTTAGAAGAAGTAGAGAAATCTAGGTAGGACCTTATAGAAGGCCAGAAAGAGCAACAAGTGTTAAGAAAATGCAATTGTAGTATGCGCATTCAACCAGACAGTCGATGCTATGTGAACATGCATCATGGTGCCTGAATACTTTTGCCGATCGCGGACCACCCGGAACCGTCGGGTCGTACCTGTCACTAGTACTAAAACGTATTCCCTTGGGCTCCGTATTCGATCTGGATGATCACTCCATATGCTACGATCACTCGGCATTCAGGGCCATGACTCCTTACAGCACTAGCCGCAAGTATTGAGATATTAATGCTGGCGCTTCTTTTCGCTTTCATTACTTGGGTCGCTGTTGAGAATTGAAATGTAAAAGCTTGGTTGACACGCGTGATAATACGGGATAGATACGTAACCATAGTAGGACGCGATTTTAAAAATTCTTCAAGCATCTAGAACTCAGAGTTTTCTAGAAGTTTAAAAGGATGGTCCGCAGGACTCAAGTCACAATTTCTCTGAGGCTCACCAGTATATCTTAGACGAAGATTTGTTGACGCTATACACGGAGATACGATGGCAGGAGTTAGTGACATACAAGACCCAGTTCCAAGCGGTTCGAACGTCAGGAGGTTGTGTGTTGAGTGCGTTGTCCCAACATTGATACACAATCTCAACCCGACCTTCAAGGTCATATGGAAGATCGAACTTGTAGGTACGCCAGATCCACTTGCGTTTCTTAGACATATTTTTGAAAGGGACTGTGTACCAGTTAAACCCGCCGTCCGCCGAAAGCTCGATGCGTTTTGGCTATCGACCGCCGCCGGAGTAGGCCCAACCCTAGCATCGTATCTTGCCGTTGTAAATAACCACTTGCTTTGTCCACGGTGACATAACTGCCGAGCTGACTGACATTTTTTGAGCCTGAATCCAGTCTGTCAATCCCAGCTCATGTTTGCCCACTTGTTGAGGAAAATAGAGGTACTTTTGGCTTTGCACAGGCGCCCGGGATGGCTTCTCGATGGCTTTGGTCCGATACACCCACTTCGCGCTTCTTGCATCAATGTAACCCAAGATAACAAGTCGGAGAGGGCAGCCATGAATGCGAGGCATTGGCTCTCCGTTCATCTCCCATGCTAAGAGAACTTCGTTTTCCTTAACCTTAGACCAAGGGACGCTGACAAGATAATTCATGACTTTGTCGTCTGAAGTAGGTATTGGCGCCATAGGACTCGAGATGCTTCCCGCCGTCGATTAACTCACCGCATGCCTTGATGCCCTTTTTGAGGCTGACGCCCACGTAGCTAGCGGTGCTGATCGCACCTTCCGCCCAAGGTGCTCAGGGAACTTCGTCGCCTTGACCAGGATACTTCAGAATCTGTTCAATGAGTCTCGTGCCGGAGCATTGTATCGTTACCACTTTCTCGATGTGAGGGAATTTAGTTTGATCCATAAGCCCATCTAGGGTCAACAAACGTGGTGTCTTGACAAAACCGTCGATCATAAAGCTATAGTCGGCTTTGTCAATAATTGGGATACCACCATGGTCCCTGAAAGATGCAATGGGTTTAGTGTAATCTCTCTATCAGTAAAGAATCGCTTAGGCGGCTCTCCATTATATGGGAACTGCAGTAGGCGAAGTATGTCAGGATGCTTCTCTTTCAAAACGATGTCCCAGGGGTCGCCTGGGATTTGGGTGATTTCGTCACCGACAGCATGATGCCACATCTTCCAGCGAGTTCCTGGAATAGGGCCTAGCTAAAACTCTGGATTAGGTGGAAATGTTTGCGCAGTGAGGATCTTGTGTGCCGCCACCTTCTTGTCAGGATGATCTTTCCACTCTACAAACCTACAAAAACCTTTAACAAATCACTTCAAAATAAGCCTCCATTGTTGTTACTTGCCCTACCCAACCCTTCCTCTCGCGACCAAATAGCTTGCCACGATCACCAACGGTCCTGATGGCTTCTTCATCGATGGTCAGCTCTCCAAATATTTGAGAAAGTATGTGAAACCAGTCATGTCAAGGACAGGGAGGCTCGCTCCAGACAACCCCTGCTCAATCTTTCACTCATCTGGACGATTGGTGGTTCCCACTTGTCTCTTTGAATCCGTCATCATTCCTTCAAATTTAATTTTAATACAATATTAGTAAAAGTATATTTTTATTCACTGAAGCAATAGGAATAGGTGGCAGGCTTGATGTAACTACGTTTTCCCATCACCTGTTCATAGGGCGAGTAAGGCTTATGACGTCATTTGTTTGCGTCTGCGGACCATTGGCAAGATACGGGAGCCGTTGAGTATGGTAACTAGGTTTCATTGGTCATGGTTGGTCTTATGTATGGGCTACATGTGAATGTAGCTGATTTGTTACTTTCAATAACATCTAGTTTAAACGCAAGATTGGTCAGGTTGGGGTAGAAAGGCACCCTTGCATTAACAGAAGCCCCATCAAGAAAAGCAAAGTTAATAAGGCCAACTTACTAACGATCCCGCATTTACTGATCGTGGAGTTAAATTTGTGTTAAATGTGAACACTCTCTACAATAGTATACTATGGAATGAATACCACAGGCTCTAAGAAAGTCTTGCACAAAAGAAAAAAAATAGAAAGCTAAATGTTCACAGAGTTCTTCAGTATGAGCTGCAAAATGTTTTCTCAAAGTCTTGTACAAGACTTCACTTCTTTTATCACTGTTGGAGTATCGATAATCCGGCATCGCCCAGTGGTGCAAATGGCATCACTGGCAACGCCGCGCCGCGTTGTGCCTCGATAATCATCGCGACAGTTCACGCTTAGATAGGAATGAGGAACTACGGCCGATGATTATCATTCGCGCTGACGGCAATCTACAGCCTTGCGAAATCGTTCATTATCTCGATAGGTCTGACGTGGTCAAACTATGTTTGTAATACTTCCAACACGCTTGGATTATCGGAACAGTGTTTATTGATAAGCAGGTGCTTTCACTCAAGAACAGTACTATGGGATCGACAAATACATTAGAGCTATGGGTGGGCGAGACTTATATTTATCTTGTCTTTGTGCGCACAAGTTCTTAGGTTGTTATGTAAGAGAGTTTATCACAAATGTTCATCTTAAGGTGTCACTGCTGACAATATCATAGAGTTCAGTTACCTGCGCTAGCAAAAAGGATATAGCTGCAAGATTCGCATCAGCGAAAGGGCCAAGGCTTCGGGATGTATGCGAAGGGTAATAGCAGATGTTGCTACGGTATAGCCACACAAGTTTAAGAGTCTCTGGAATTTTTTGGTACAGTATTCATATGGCTAGCAATACCACATTCTAGATTGATAGCCCTAAGCAGATCATCCTTACGTACCGAACTCTTGGAAGGATGATGTTGCCCGAAAATACTTAGCTAACCATGTACATTGAAGCTTTCCGTGCCACCATTGTTAATCTCGCTATCTAGAGCATATAATCAGGGATAAAGGTATGTTAACCGCTTATATTCGAGGGTTGGTAGTCATGGATGGCTATATCTCTGGTTTGAGGATTAGCGGGCTCTGTCAGAAGGCGCGGGATGTACTAGGGGGTAGTCGCGCTTTTCTCTTTATTAGGTATAATATCTAGAGGATACCTCTTCGCTACATGGGTTCCCCTTGACAAAACTACAAAGCTATCATGGATAGTAAGTGTCTGATATCTAGCACTTAAAATAACAAGTAGTTCAATGAATAATATTGAGAACTTCAGGCTGCAAAGACTGTTCACGACCCGCAAGTGAGGGCAAGATGGAGGTAGAAGATTCCTTCGCAGCTACGCTGTTCACATAAATTATTCTTCGCCAAGTGACCCGGAAGGAAAGTACACAAGGAATGCATGCAAGGACTACGAAGAAGTGCACTCCCTTCTGGATTGCCCGTATGGATTCTTCAGCGAGACACTATCTGGCGAGACATAGCACTAATACCTTGTCGACACTAGTGTACCATTGGATAGTAATGGCTGCAGCTTCCTAGAAGATGTGTAAATGGGTAATAAACTAGGGGTGCTGCGATTGCCGGGTTGCCGTGTGTCGGAGCATACACGTTCGTGTAGGATCGAGGAAGAGCAGAGCAGACTATCGAAAGGGGCTGTGTCTAGGCTAAGGCTGAAAGAAGACTCATTATGCTGGACAAAGCACCAATGGGGTTCGGATGGTGGCGGTCGGGTGAAGCTAGGAATGGTACATTAGCCTACCACAACATCCAGGATGTTGTCTTCCTGAATCTGTAACATTGCCACTGTACAATTTAAACTTCATTTAGGAAAATCGCTAAAAACACGAAATTCACCATGTTAAAAAAGTGGGTAGAGCTAGCGATTGACAGGTTACTTGTTGCGACCAACATTCGAGGGATTCGCTCAAGATCTCCAAATGCCCGCTCAGGATTGTCACTGAACCTATTTCGAAACATCTTAGCGAAGAAGGTCACCTATATTTTCCTATGTAGTGTGGGTATTAGAATAGTCTTGGTCTCGCAATACAGCACTATAAGGGGAGGGTAGATGAAGAGCGGGTTTGGGGTAAAGGGTAGCAAAATCTTAATAAAGAAAACGTTATTCTCTCAGTTGATATATGTAGTATTAATCTAAGAAGGAGTAGTATAAAGGTAGAAGAATTTGATGAGTATATTCGCAAAATATAGAGTCGCCATCTACACCGCATCTCGGGCACCAGGGAAGGCCTTGAACAAGGATTTGTCGTACTGGACGAGCTCAGGACACCCAAGCTCTGCAATGATTGGGTCTAGAACAGAGGCCAACTTTTGCACTGCGACCAAGATGTTGCCAAATAATCCGCGGAGAATGTCAGGAGCACCTTCGCTAGCTGCTTGGAACGCAAAGCACATTAGGTTGTTTCCCTCAAGAAGTGTCTGCGCATTAAGAACGTTGCCTAAAGATCGATGTGGAACGTTAGTATTCTTTCCACATATAGTTCGTATAGAGAGATTACTTGCCCGTCAGGTCGTCGATATCGACACCAGTGAACGAGTTTGGCTGACCGGTATTTCCACCAATTCGGATCAATTCAGGGTGGGCTACTTCAAGCGAAACGGCTTCAGCAGTGAAGGACAGAATGGTGTAATCATCGCCGATGATGCGGCGGTACCACTATCATGAGCGTTAGCAATTACAAGCAGATGGTGTTACGATGGGTACTCACGTTTTCAGGAATCCTCTCTTGTCCGCGAGCCCACTTATAATTACCCTTTTCTCCGGTAACACCCTGGAATGACATGAGTGTCTTAGCATCGAGATAGCCTTCGGGGTTCTCAGCGGTGTGGTTGGCGAAGAAACGGTAGGTGAATTGATACGTGGCGGGGTTCAACGCAAGGGCCTGTAGCGGGCCTGAGAAGTAATGACCATTCGTAGCAATAGAGTGCCTCGTGCGATCAAGGCGGAACGCGGTCATGACGGGAATGTCAATGCCATTCTTACCAAGAGGCATAGAGAGAAGCTGCTCGAAAAAGTCCAAATTGAGCGATACGGGGTCGCCACTGCGAATAATGAGTAATTCTGACCTTGAAACAAAAGGAGGAAACTTGAGTGACATACGTGGAGTACAAGTCGGATCGTGTGGGCGATCCATCGACCTCGAAGCGGTTATGTGACGCACTCAGGCCCTGTGGTTCTCCAAGAAGGCCAAGTGATGAGATGGCACCGCCCAGGAGACCACCAGTCTTAGGTTTACCACCAATTGAGAAAGAGGTGAGATCGCCTGCCATGACGGCGGAGTAGACTGCCAGAAATGCAGATAGATCCAGGCCCATACCAAACACTAACGTTGTCAGCACTCGGTCAACAAGAGAGCAAAAGCATGCATACCCTCATTGGCAGCCGTAGTCATTTGTGTGATTGTAGAGATGCCATTCCGGGGAAGGTAGCCGTGGTTTGCCAGGACATTGATACCAGGGCAAGGTCCACGGAGATCATTGGGGCCCGGGGCAATCTGGTAACGAAGTCATTAGCAAATGCAATGCCATGTTGCGCATCTCGGTAGGGCCACTCACGTATTTATGGTCACCAGTGGTACTGATGCGCTGAGCCTCTGCATCGAATGCACGTTTAACGTGGGTACCCGATCGCCTGCTTTTGAAATCCCTTGAAATCTTGTCCGTGAGAGCGGTGATTTCCGCAAGGGTCGTTTGACTGATGTCGCCTTTGAGCATGCTCGCAGGAAAGGCGAAGGCCGCTAATGAGAAGAGGGTTGCACTGCATAGTACTGAGATTCTCATGTTTGCAACGACAATATCCAATGTGAAAGATTGTGAAGAAAGGATGTGAAGTTGGAGCGAGGAAGATTCGGTCGGCGACAGCTAGGGATTGTTCAACTTTCATGTCGGCAAATGACTGCTGCGCACACGTGGGCGGCTATAATTCTCATCTGAACATTGCCGATGGAGATGGCAATGTGGAGTCAGGTACCTTACAGTGCAGCCCTAACAGTCCGCTTTACTTACTCTAAATTGCAGGGTGGAGGGCCGGGGGCAGAGAGATCGTCGTGGGTAATGAGGTGATTGGGCCCCGAGCCATACTAGAGGTTTGCAGATCTTTGCGCCATGCCTTCGATGCTAAGGCTCTAGATCAATCGCCATGCGCTCGCGCAAGCCACAGGGCCAGTCCGTTCTTAGATCTGCTAGATCTAGCGACTCGTGTCAAGGAGAATAAAGCGCCCCAACGTCATGGTTTGAGTCCTCGAGGCTTGCCTTGGTGGCCCTTGTGGCTCGTCACGGTGCCTAGTGCTATCATCTCTCTCTCTATAATCACCCTGCCGGCCAGCGGCAATCGTCTGTCGGGCCAAGACGCATCCGAGACCAGCGCATCTGTACTACTCCTGCGTCTACGCTAGCCCACATTCGTCTCATCTTAATATCTGAGTATGCAGGCTGCCTTACCCGGCGCGGGCTTCTTAGCATGTAAGAGTCGCATGCAAGTTAAACCCTCGCGCAGAGAAGCCCGCACTGCTTGATTAGCGGCCGACAATGCTTTGATCACCATGACCCAACAGCTAAAGGCCAGTATTGCCCGATACCCACGTACTATTCCAAGCGTCTCCACAAGCATCCATCTGCCAAAGGTTACACTTCACAACTGCCGCACCCGCCTACTTCGCCTGATAGGACATAGCTCTCGGCCAAATACCCACTCCTCGAGGAAAAGGGTGAATACCGGCCACTCTCTCGAGGCGGATAACTGCTATCCGCAACCCTATCTTCAACGTCGATCAATATAAACTTGATCCATGTCCCGCGTCAGCACCGTGCCGCTATGACCGCTGTTGAATTTTGACATAGCGCCAAGGAGCATTCCCTTCAATTTTCTCTCCTTTTCGCTACTCTCGAATCCAATTCAAATGGCTGCCTTCGAGAGTTGGGTCAGCAATCCCGACGAGAGCAATGGACCGCTCATGTCCGTCGTCACCTGGTCGCTTGTCTCAGTCGCTGCTGTCTTTTTGATCCCTCGGCTTTGTATTCGCCAGCGTCAAGGGAAGCTGTGGCTAGACGATTGCACACTTGCCGTCAGCTGGGTAAGTGCCACAACATCTCGAAGCAAATAGCAATCCGCTCATACGATAAAGATCTTACTTCTGATCCAAGTTTCCATCAACCAAGTATCTATCAACTTGGGCTACGGAGGACATACACTTGACCGTAATACGCCAAAAGAGAGTCTTACACTTTACATCTCAGATTGCTAATCTGTGCTCCAGTCGACTTGCGCAATCTTGATAAATTGATGTATATTGGCGGCGCGGAACTGACAATATATACCATCGCTATTGCCTTGAGCAAGATCTCTTTCGGACTTACTTTGCTTCGGCTGACGGATGGGTGGGTCAGACTCTATGTCTACTTTGCCATTTCTACCCTGGCCATTTTTGCTGTCCCTGCTACCATTATACCATGGGTACAATGCAAACCACTAGCCAAAACTTTTGTGGACTTCATACCGGGCGAGTGCATCAACAAGCACCCCTCTGTTGTGTATGGACGTTTCCAAGCTGGTGAGCGGATAGCTTCAAAGTTTGTACATTGACCTCTTAGCTGACTTGTGATGCAGTGTGGTCGGCACTTATGGATGTGTCTCTTGCTATGTTGCCGTGGAAAATCCTTTCGAGCCTACAGATGCGCACCGCAGAGAAGATCGGCGTATGCGTCGCCATGAGTCTGGGAGTACTGTGAGTCCATGCACTGCCAGATTCATTTGAAAATTGAGCTAACGTCGTCGAAGAGCCGGAGTAACGTCAATCATCAGATCTACATACATCGAGAAATTGACAGTACAGGATGTATCATGTAAGCCATTTCAAGACGTGCACGGATCATTGCTAACGGCCACAGATGAATCGTACAAATCTATCATATGGGCAGTCGCAGAATGCTCCATGGCCATCGTCGCTACCTCAATTCCAGTACTTCGCGTCGTTTTCAAGCGTGCGTTCAACTCCGCGATCGAAGGCTACACGGGCTCGAGTAGAAGCAAGTCACGAAGCAAATCACGATCGTACCCTTCCAACGCTGCGAGCTCGGGGAACCGAATGAGCACACGGCAATCGAGCAAGAAGATGCCAGACATAATGGTCAGTAGAGAATGCGGAGAATCTGTGGAGGAAGTGTTTGGACGTGGATCGAATAGATCAAAGAACTACGTAGAGCTAGATGATCTGGCGGTCGACGAGGAGTCTGGGCGCGTCACTGCTTCGTCTCCAGAATCTCTGCCAGACCATGCGGAGCGCCATATACCTAACTGGCCCGTATGATTTTGCCCTGCAATTCGCGTGCATGAGACAGCTAGGGGGCACGCAAAGGATTTCTCTAGACTTGTTTCTTAGTAGTAACCGTTAAGTTCAAAAAGAGAATCTGTATCCTGTTTATACTCCCGCTATGAATGGACTGTGCGACACAATATATGCTCTTCTTCCGGACCATGCGGCAGAAGCGCATTTATCATCAGATACATGGACCTGCATATCCCGCAACGAGCCTCGTACGAGTCTATTAGTATTTGGCTTGCCTATGTGAACAGATACCCTTGGTTGCTGAACATCTGCTTTCAGGTTGCTAGGTCTATGAAGAGTGAGGTGCATGGCTCGCATAGTTCGAAGGGAGGGTATTGAATCATCTTTATCATGGGGGGGCATTTGATCCGGGAGAGTATCAGAAAAGATATATACAAAGTATAATACGTGAGCGGGGTAAATTTAGGTGTTGCATTGGCATCGTTCAGCCGCACGCAGCCTCAGCCCAGACTCTAGACTCCAGGTTGTGTCACGTGATATACGCTAACAACACTTCAGGTGCCACTTCACCCTGTCTTAGTAGCTATTAACGATATATGAGCTTATAGTACCTTGATTAGAATTCATTAGGAGTATTAGATATTCCTATAGATTGTTCTCACAGATGAGGCAAATGACCTGTTCGGCGAGCGCAAGGCTGGCGAAATGTCATATCCGGGCTATGCTAACTCAGGTCTCCATGCAATGGAACAGCATTATGGGCCACAAGGAGTAGCCCTTTGTGCTGATAGCTAACAACTCTTCTGTATATATGATAGTAACCAGAACATACTCTTTTTCCTACTTTCAAATTACAGTTCACTTTTGGAACTAACTAGTGCATAACAACTGCTACATGATCATCCATGTACTTGGAGATGTCACCTAAGAAGCAGGATGCAATGATGCTCACACAGCCAAAAGCAATGCTAACATAGTACACATATTTGTATGCCTCTGCATACGCGAGTTGGCCGGCGTACACCACCAATTCGTATGCACCTGGCACACCCTTGATCCCTGGAAGATCCTCGAGCAGTGGGAGGAGTGAGCTGCCAGTGATTCCAATGGCTTCGCGAATAACGGAGGGTGAGGTAACATTAAGTTTTGTGACCATGACGCCACCAATATAATGTGTGGCCGCTGGTACAAACTTGGCTTTAAAAAGAGTTAAAGGTGCTTTTCATCGGTACTAAGAGGGAGGAAACTTACAAATAAATACATTATAGTAGACACAATAACCGATTGACCCGCCAATAACACGAACAGCGAGGGTAAGTGCGGCGACCGTGGCGATAAGATCGTCTGGGCAGATGATAGTCGCTGCTACTATTAGCATTGCACTCGTTATCAAAAGACAATGTAATACTTACATATAATAGATGCTGGAACCACGATACCTCCGATTCCAAGACCTGCTAGAACCAAAATGCCCCAAAGCTGATGTAAATTATCCACTCGGCCAACGGCAAGAGCACCACAACCGGCAGTCATGAGTATAGAAGAAGCGATAAGAAGTTCCTTATTATGGCCTCGAAGGAGAGATAGCAGCCACAGCACAATGCAGGCTCCAGCAAGGATAGAGAAGCCGACTGGAATACCGCGGATACCGACACCAATTGGGTCGTGCCCATACACATTGAATGCTTGTGTGGGCCAGAACATGAGTATGGAGAAGAAATTAGCCCCAGAGATGAAAGTGATAACAAGGGTAAGACCCAAGATTCGTGGTTCCTGTCGCAGTCTTTTGGGAAACATGGGATGTGTTGCATATCCTTGCCAAACCACGAAAGCGATGATGAGCACAGCGCCGAGGATCAAGGGCACAAGAACATGAGCACTATGCCATGGGTACTGGTAGCCTCCCCACTGCATACCCATCATGAATAGGATCATCCCAGCGATGGAAAGGAAGCCGCCGATATAGTCGATCTCAGCCAGAATCTGGTTGCGGCTCATGCCCTGGCTGTTAACACGTGGTGGTGGATGGTAAAAAACCGCCACCAGGGCGAGGCCAATGAAAGCCCAGAGGCCAATCCAAAGTCCAATCCAACGCCAGGTCGAATGTGAGGCAATAAGCTGCGCCCATAGTACGGATGGACAGAATGGAATAATGGTAAAAACGAGGACTGCAACGTATTTACCGCGTTGCGCGGTAGGTGCCAGCTCAGATGTCACAGCCAATGCTGTCAATTCGTCGATACCGGCTCCTATCCCTGCAAAGACCATACCACAGATAAAGATGTTCATCTCGTGGGCAGTGGAGCAAATAATCATCCCGATGATGAGGAACATCGCTCCGATCATCGCAACCCAGCGACGGCCGACAATATCAGATATGGATCCAACGAAAGGGCACACTGCAGCCAATGAAAGAAGGTTTGCGAGGATGAACCAGATCCATCGATCGTTGCCGCCGATATCACCATAGATGTATGGAGGAACACCACCGAACAGGTAGACAGGGATCTGGCTGCCAGTCCACACTAGGTGTAAATTAGTAAGATGTCGATAGAGGTAAAGGGACCACTCACGAAAGGCCATCGCTACCAAGCTCATGATGCGGCTAAAGGTCATCGGGGGCTCAGTACCATGATCTTCGACATCACCACATGTTCTCAAGCTACTTTTCTCACAATCATTGCCGCCTCCAGAAATTCCGTTATCAACTTTTATTTTTTCAATTTCCACAGCTGTCGGTTTCGAAGAAGAAACATGCTCCGAGTCATCTGATAAAAGAAATGTTTAGTACAGTGTAAACGATCCTGAAGTACGACCATGCATACCGGAGCTACTGGTACCCGCCATCATGTACTTAATGTGAGTAAAGACACGGGAGTGTATGACTGTAGCGATTGGGAAAATAGGGCAAGATAAGAGAAGGAGTCAGAACTCCTCGAAGTTGGATGTACCGGATTTTAAGTCACCGCGTGGCTGGGACGAGATCCAACTCGGGGCGTAGACTTTGATTCGGCGACTTCGCAGGAACGCTGTCAGAACCCCATGGGGTACCCTACGGCATCCCGCGGTAAGTCCGTTGCGGGGTATACATGCTAGTGAGGGCTATAGCTTGCCTCAGGGGCTCAAGTCCACGGAGATAGAATACGAATGTGTTCTGGCCGATCACTGTGGCGATACCACGGAGGTGCCATTGGCTTACCCACAGCGCAAGCTTCCGGAGCCGCGCAAGCTTCCGGAGCCGCGCAAGCCACTTGGGAATAAAGTTGTTAATAGGTGAGAATTTGCCGAGGCATGCCGTGTTGCCACACAGAACTTGGTCGCTGGCTGCTTTCTTAGTTTGCATTTGCCTGTCAATTACAAAAAGGTCAATTGTAAAAAGAATCCTTCGCGAAGCTTCATGCTGACTCGGAATAATGCCTATCACGGGTGACCAATCCCGCACTGCACAGCGATAATCTTCAGGCAGCTTGCGTCCCGCAGGACATCCGCTGGGACGGTGTGAATTGCAAAATGAGAAGTAGGCCCGGCGCTATGTGAGTAGCGCCCAACTACCCCGCATGTCAATTGCTTAACTGGATATAAGCAGTAGACAAGCACCTCGGCATGCGATGACAAGCTTCTCAGTCACGTTACGAGGATTTCGGGCCGAATGGACACATGGAGGCTTTGTGTAATCGCATCATAGGACCATGTACCAAAGGGATGGTCTATGGTTAGATCTAGCCAGAAATAGGGTTCTTGCTAATTAGCTTTATAGATAGGAGAATGCTCTTAAAATTGAAGTGATTGACATGGAAGTTGAGAATACGCAAGACCTGCCGCCTTTTTCGACATTTGCGTAACTGTACGTATCGGGAAACCTCCCCGACTCTCACCTTACGTATTTCAACCTGCAGTGCTAGACTTACAACTTCTTCTTACTCCCCGGCAACTAACGGGCTCTTCAACGATGCCAATGCGAAGCGGAACGCCTCTCACTGAATACCGATACTCGAACCCCTCCCTGGTCTGCATAGCTATGTATTCGAACCCCTCAATGTTTTGGTAGAGTGTTGTGATATTACCTTCAATGAGAAACCCGTCGTTTGTGTCCGTTGGGATCAAGATTTCCCACGTAGCAGCGGCGGCATTGAACCGCCAGTGAACACCCAGAATGATATGTGAAAGTATGTTCTAGCAAAGATGACTATACCTATGTCCTACCTGCACTGCTAACACTTTTAACATAGAAACTGCCTTAACAGGTGATGTTGCTTACTAGATACATAGCATTTCGATATTTCTTCCAACTCATCTGAGATATCGCTTCGGCTTGTCGAGCTACAAATACCAAACATCGTACGTCCCGGAGAGAATTTTCTATGTTGCCATCGTCATAATTTACATGAAGTGCGGGGAATGTTACCAACTCTACAGTGCCTTTCCGCCAAAGTCATCTCCTACAGCATCTATGACCAGCAGCCCATCTGTGTGTTCCTCTACCAGCACTCTCATCTCCTTCCTAGTCCTTTGGTACATCAACATGGCATCGCCAAAACGATGAAGTTGACCTAAAATTTAGGGAAATATCTTTGGTTGGGTAAGAGGGCGCAGGCTAGAAAGTCATAGTGTCTAAAATGTGGTAAGCGTATTCAGTTTGAGTTATCCAGTAGTGGATACATATAACGCGTACAACGCATTGCGGGTCATTATACTCTGTATGTCGCTCAGAATTCTCCGTGACCTTCTAACAATGTCTGAGATACAGTCTTCCGAGACGATATTGCGGCGCCCGCCAAGGGCCAATTTCTGCCCTCATTGTGACGCCAAAAGGCACAGGAGTCGAACAACATAAGATTCCTATCTCCCAAAAGACCGGACAGAATGTCTGCCCTCTATAGTCTCGCAAACACCTCTAAAAGGGATCGCATACGTCAAAGTTCTTTTACGTCTAGAAAGTCAGTACCTGTACTCAAGTCCCTAGTACTGTGTAGAGAGAATGGTGTTCTTTTCTTAATACTAAGCATACCATAGGCAGCGTTAGCGCCAATCTGCTGTTGTTCCCGCCAAGTCGCGTTACATACTAAGATAAACGGAAAACTTGGTCAACATTCGACGGTTGAGCGCTTGCTATCCGAACCACGCTTCGAATCCCCCTCGAGAAGGGAAACACTATGTCGTACCGCCGCCGGTGGAAAGAAGGAACTTCTCTACTGTTTACCCCCAGCCACTCCAAACAATTATGTATAAGATAATACCGTAGAATACCGCGGCTTGAAAAAGGACACCTTTGGACGAATTCATACATAGTTTCCTTGAGCTAGCATGGCGTTTTTTTTGTTGGCGAAATCTTGGCAATAGACAATATTTCTCTAGGTATCTCAAGTGTGTGTTTGTGCCAATCATGGTACATGTTACTTTTGTTCTGGGAGAGAGCTGAATGTCGGTTAAATGAGTCACGAACCACAGTGATCCCTCGGTACAGAGTCTCGCCAGAGCATCGGAAACTCCTGAAGTAGGTATTCTTTGGCCTTTCTAGAAGGTAGCTGGCGATTTTTGTGTTTCGGTGAACTTGAGTCATTCAACATTTTCTGTACGAAACTACTTTCTAGCTAATTGTCGCCTGTAGGAGTTTCCCATCACCAGTCGACTGTCTGTACCTGGTTTTTATTAACGATTTAGACAAAACAAGCCGACTGTATAGCAAAGATTGATACTTCATAGGACTAGCGAAGGATCCTCGCCGTTACATGGGACGCATGCTACGCCGCATCCCACGGCAGTGTATCTATCAATGAGCCCATTTACTGCGCCAGGAGGGTCTTAAGTTCGTCTGACGCTCGCCTGAAGTTCTGAAAACCTTTGTAACACTAATCATCAACATCATGGGGTTATTGGATTTGGAAGACTATGGCACCATCGCTGATAAGGCTTGCTGGTCCATGTTTGCAGTCACAGTTTGCGAGTAGCCCTCTTATATTGCGCCCAAGGGCAGTTGACTGTCTTGTAGTCTTCGTGGCGTTGAGAGCTGGCACTCGCATGTTCAGCAAAGGCGGTGGCCTCAGAATGGACGACTGTATCACCGTTTTTTGCGTCGTTATGATGCTCGCCATCTGCATCCTGATCACAATGGGCACCTAGTACGGTCTTGGACAAATATGGAGGCCATCGGTCCTCCATTGATACCGCGAGCTCTCAAGTGGAATGTAATTATCAGTTCGGTGCTGATATGGACGTTTTCGATATCCAAGTTCGCCATCATCGCGATTCTCAAACGCATTCCGAACTACAGCCTCAAGACGACGATACTATTCTGGGGCCTCGCGCTCATCCCCCAGGCCTGCATACTGGCTACGTTGGTCTGGTGATACAAACAATGCGATCCGGTCGAATTCGGCTGGAACAAAACCATGCCGGGCGGAAAATGTGCCAGTACCAAGGTCGTGTCAGATTTGGGCTTTTTCAATTCAGCCTATCGTTCTTTCCTAGGTGTATTCTTCGCCGTGTACCCGATTCCATTCATTATGCGCCTTAACATGCCACTCAATAACCGCATCCTAGTCTCGATCGTGCGGGGCCTCAGTATCCTGTCCTTCTAAAAACTCACAATCTTGGGAGAAATTTTTGTAATACTAGCTGAGAACCTAACTTGTGAGTTATTCACCTCACATGTTTCTCAGCATAGAACTAACTTTGTTAAACCCGGTCCCGCTTCTCGATATACTCGGTCTCGGAGAGGATTGTATTCTCGTGGTATGCTCTTCTTTGCCCACACTGGGCCCGCTCTTCCGCTTGACCAGAGGCAAAGTTTGGATTCTCAGTGGCATTAGAACTGCCAGCCAGGGAAGATGCAGCAGCGTCGCCCACTGAGCGCTATCTGATACCAGCGGAAGATGGGATAAACTCAAAGGATATCATTTGGATGACAAGGATAGGACGTCGAGCCGCGCAGGTGAAAGCATCGATGAAACCCTACTCGTTTACCACGGCGCGGATCAGGTCCACAAGACACTCGAGTTTAAGGTGACCACGAACGCAAAGTATGACGGACGGGCGAAGCCAGTTGATGATCGTGACACGTAGCTTAGTGTTGCCGTAGGAGCCAATACTTCCTTTAGGCATCTACGCGCGCGATAGGGCAGCAGTGTTGTGGTGATGATCTAATTGGGCAAGCTTTGGTGTTGTTGAAATGGTGCTGTTAAGGTAATGTTATCAAGGCGAGGAACTGTGAAAGAGGGCGACTCGAGCGGGAACCAAAAGCAACATTGTATTTCATATTCCCACGGAATATTTCACTTTTCCTTCGTGGAAACGTTATTTCGAGCCTCTCAATACAGACTATTCAGCAACACCAAAGTTCAGCTACTACAATAGATGCTAATCGGTAGATCCTGTCAAGCTCGTTCATACGAGTCTGAGGGGCTGCATGCCAAGCCAAATATTCCAAAAGTGACGTGAGAGGTACGTGAGTGGCTCAACAGGTGGGTCTGTCCCTGAGATATCCTTGCTCACTCAAATTTCGCATACTGTGTCCTCAACTGATCCGTGTCAACCCATCCAACCGGCATGGCATTAAATCGTGCGGCCTTTCCAATGTAGTTTGAGACTAATTACTCTATCGAGCAGCCGCGCGACTAAATGATGCCGTAGAAGTTTGACCAGACCGATTACATAGGGTCGTTGAGGACAAATTACGTATGAGAGAAGTACATATAGGAAGAATGTATGTTAACACGCGCTTATCTGTTACAAGGAATTCACTAACTACTATGGTATTGGAAACTCTCTAGTCAGCCGGTAAATATGACCAGAATTTTACGGTAGATAAGAACATCTCCCTTCGTCAAGTAATAGACCGCGTGCCGTTTCCG